AACATGTGCCTTCAAATCGCGTGAATAAGAATCGCAACACGCAAATATGAAAAGCTATGTTTGATATTAAAATCGTGTGAATAAGAATCGAGATATTAGCAGATTCCAGGCTTGGGACCTCTAAAAGGCTTGTCAGAAGCAGAGTTGTTTGAACTATGAAAATCGGATCTATCTGGAGGGCTGGTAAAAAATTCGGAAAATCTTATCTACTGCGTGTAAAAGGGGAGAAAATAGGTAAAATAAGTAAAAATGAGAAAAGATTGGTAGCTATGTAGATTGAATTTTCTGTTTCTCTTTGAAAATCGGTGAATTTTCTGAAAAAGCGGAATACTTATAAAAAAATTAAATTTTTAGAAAATCTGAATTTTTGATAAAAAAGCTGAAATTTAAGAGTTAAAAGTGAAAAAAGCGGAAATCCGCTAAAAAGCGGAAAAATCTCATCCCTGTTTATAACTCTGATTTTAGGCAAATAATATTTATGCGCAAAAAAATATTTTATGATTAGGATGCCGTGAGACACGTTGAGCAACAAGTTCGGGAACCTCCGGTCAAAGTCATATTTTTATGCAATCAGTTTAAATTCGGATCAATTATTTTAATTTGATTGCATGTTTAAGTTGTTTTCTTATGCCTTATGACCAACTAAAATAAGAAAACTACTAAAAAAAATTAAAAAAATTTTATTTTCTATATCTTAAGTAAATTAATGAAATAAAAACTACTTACCACCACTGGTATAAACTTCTAATTGCCTATTAATATTAGATTTATCGACTAATGAATGGAGAACGTTTAACACACTGTGTACGTTCCACACCTATAAAGTTATTGAAAATGTAAGAAAAAATATAATCAAAACATATTTAATCCATACACTTCTGAAAAATGTAAGGAAACTATGTTACATATCAGATTCTTAGTTTTCTTTTTTTTATTGTTTAAAATATGACAATGATTAAAAAAAGAAAAAAGTTTCAAAGTTTTCAAACATTTACTTAAATTACTGTATGAATTATCAAATCAATAAGCATAAAAAACCATTTAGTAAAAAAGGTTTTTTTATAAATCATCATTTTAAATCAATGATACAGTAAAAATGATATAAACCACATACAAAGAACACTATTAAAAAGATATTACTTAAAATATATCTCTAAATTCATAATATTAGTAATTTGTAGTCTTTAACTTGAAAATAAGACATTTTCACCTAGATTGAAAAGAAAAAAGAATTCTCTTTTGCTACACCGATGCAGTGAAAAACAATAATACAAACTGTATTAAGATACTCAATGCCTGCGATTTACATATTTTTATTATCTACTCATTATTATTAAAAAAAATACTTCAGTAATTTATTTTTTAGGTTATTATGAATATGAGAAAATGTTACATTATAGATATTAAGAGAAAAAAATTATATTTTCTTGTTTCTTTTTTTTAATTTATTTAGTATATTTTTATATTATTTATTTAGGCTTCTTTAAAAAAATAGATTAATGAGGAATTTTTTTACACCCTGGTTTTAACCAAAATGTTTCGACTGACAAAAACAAATAAATTAAAAATAAACATCTAAAATATTAATTCATAGAGAATTCTATTAATATTTGAAATAAAAAAATAATAAAAATTTTTTGACTAAAATTTAACAGCCAAAAACATAATAACTTAATAAATAAATTGTCTTACTATTTGCAGCCTTTTTTTTATATATATGCAATTGGTAAATATAAAATGAAAAAATTAAATTGCATAATAAGCTCCTTATTAGTAATAAACTTAACAGAATTTTAGAAGAAAAAAAAAGGAAAATTAAAACAATTACTAGCTACTGAAAGTTTATAACTATTAACTGTCGAAACAAAAAATACTTTTTAAACAAACTGATCTCAGAAAAGTTTCATGATCTGAACTTGTGCATTAGAATTAAATGAAAGAACTTTTTATGCCTTCTTAATGTTTTGAAATTAATATTTAAACAAATTATTATTTGTGAAACATGGTAAATAAAAGTAAACCCAACTTACCTTTGCATTTTGCCTTAATTGCTCCATTTCCTCATTGGTTCTTTTGTTCAACATGCTTTGATAATGACTGAAATTTTGAAACTGAAATTTTGAAAAATTTAAATCGTAAGAAATAAATCAAATCTAAATGATTGAGAACTGAAATAAAATAATAAGACACAAGATGCAATTTTAGAATCAACTTAATCAGTATCACTATAAATATGTATTTTACATTTTATTAACATATATATTATATAAATATGAATATTATATATTATTAAGTATTGATAACATAAAACATTTTCTCCACAAATTTCACTTGTAATATGTTCACATTGAACACCATAAAATTGTTGTAACACTTCTTACAAGCATAAAAATGCAAAAAGAGGGAAATAATAAACACTGCCAGAATATAAAAAGAAAATGTATAATATAACATGCTCCAAATTTATTAATTTAAATACTTGATACTGCTTAGAAAAAAATTAAATAATTTAGAGGTTCAAAATACCTAATTATGGCAGAAAAAAGTCAAAATTCCAAAAACTAGAATTTTACTCACTATTTCTAATTATATTGATATATATTTTCACTGTATGCAACACGTTTGAACAGACTTAATGCATCCTAAAATAGTTTTTTAAAAGGAAAAAAAACACATGTAAACAAAATGTACATAATTAAAAGAGAAAACAAATGTATAGTGCATTATTTTGGGAAAGATGAAAAAGCTATTTTTAAGAAACTTTATTGTTACACAAAAATAAATAAATATTTTACCTCTCAACTAAACAATAACAATAAAAAAAGGCCTCACATTACCTGATAAATAAATTCATCAATAATTTCCCACAACCATTGATTTGGCAACTCTAAATGCACAGGATCATCAGCACCTTAAAAATAAAAAATAAAAAAAATTAGAAAATCACTTTGATCAAATATGAATTTATAATCAAGGAAAATGTAAATAATTTTTGAAGACTTACTTAATATAAGATTGAATAAATGGCAATAGTTGTAATATGACTCAAATCTGTCTGCAATACTAGGACCACCCTAGAAATATAAATAGGACTTTTGCTACTAAAAATAGATAAATTAAACACTACATTTATCGATATGCAACTTTGAAATCTAAAAGGTGAATGAAAAGTAAAACTTACGCTCACTCGGGCATACAAATGTCTGTAATATAATTCTTTATAGAGAATCTCAAACTTTTCATCTAAAAGAGAGAGAAAAGAAAGATTTATGAAAAATATTTGCAAAAGGATATGTTGCAATGTAGCTTACTTGATAAAAACATTCACGTTTGACTTACCATCATGAACAATATTAGCAATATCTTTTAACAAAGGCCAAGGTGTTGTTTTGTAAAATCTTTCAGTAAGCTTCACATAACTAATTAAAAAAATTTAAGATAATTATAATTTATAAAACAAATAAGGAATAAAGATGTAACTGATGGAAAAACGTTTCAGTTTAATGAGTTTTACTCAATTTTAAAAAACATACTCTTCAAACATAATTTTCATGACTTAGCGAATGCATTAACTGCATTAGATTTTAAAATTAATATAATGATTATAGCATATAATATATGATATACAGGGTTGCAAAAAATCCACCTACCCAGTAAAACCCGAGCGGGTTTTACTGGGTAAAACCCACTCTGAAAAACCCGCTGGGTTTTTCTAAGATTGATTTCTTTTTTATCCTCTGTTGAAATATATATGTAGTCTAGCCTAAAAAAATTAACCTATAGTAAAGAAATTAATTGTGTTGGAGAGTAGAGAGTGACCTTGCTGGCTAGATTTGACTGTATGGCCATTGATTAATCAGTGCCTTTGATTCGCTTTCAATGCAAATAAAAAATTTTCCTCAAATATGTGTCAAGATTGAAATATAAATAAAAAGTAATCCTGTGTTAAAATAAGTTTTAAATGTGCGATGTATGTGAGTACATAAAACATTTTCTATCGTGATGTCAGAAGAAATGTTTTTCTGACTTTGGCATCAATTTATTTGTATTAATTATTAATTACCTATATGTTAAGTCAATTTATAAAATTAAACTTATTATTAATATTAAAATAAGGTACTTATCCCTGCCCTCTCTTTCGAAGAAAAAAAAACCATTAATACATGAAAAACCCAGTAAAACCCACCTGGGTTGGGTTTTTCTAAAAAAACAGGTTTTTTGCAATCCTGGATATAACCTAGTGATATGATATGTTATAATATGATATGATTAAAACCAGGAAGTGTAATCAGTAAGAGTATAAATGACATGAATACCTGTTTTCATAAAGGCTTTGCAACTCATAGACATTGCCATCACTGATAGCTTTTGCTAGATAAACAAGAAAACTTCGTATAACTTCAGGCACCTTGTAACTTTCTGCCATTTGCCTTTCATAATCCATATCTAATTAAAGGAGGAAAAAATAGATATTCTGAAAATTTATTATAATAAAATACTAGTTTTAAATAAATAAATTTGTATATTATTTTTATAATTAAAAGAAATTTTACAGATGTTGGGCAAAACAATCTGCTACAGTGTTCTTGTTAAACAATTTTAGAAGAGCGGCCTGTCCTGCCTGCCCTTTGAGCCTTGTAAATGTGTCCTCTTAGTCAATATAAGCCGTCATCTCTCAAAAGCACTGCATTCCATTTTATATTCCATTTTGAAAAAAATTTTATTCCCTGTTTAAATAATTATTACACTCTGGTAAAATTATTTTTTTTGTAAGTTTTTTTCATTTTTTGAAAAAATTTAAGCAAATATTATCTTTTAGCGTATCTTTAATTATTTTTATAAACTACAAATTTTTCTTTTACTTCAATAATGAGAGAGAATTATTTCTAGAAATACACACCTAGAATATCATAAGAATGTAATTTAAAAATTCTTTAAGATCAAATTCAGTTAAAACATAATACACATTTTGAAAAATTTTTACAGTGGAAAGTGAGTGCCATTTCAAAACTTAAAGTGCCCTATTTTATTCATATAGATAACTTTGACTGATACCAATTTAGGTTTTTATGTAAAACGAAGAAGCATTCTAAGCAACAGATGGGAAACATTTTGAATTATAACTGGTTAGATAATAACTGGATAAAATTTTATTCATTTTAAAAGAATGTATCATTTTAACTTGAAAGGAATTTTTCACAAATAATTAATAAAAATGTCTGAGTTACGAATGTTTAATATGATTATAATGTGCATTTGAAATATGAAACATAATTTTATTTAATAGTTTTTCCTTACCAAAATAAAAAGAATATAAAGCTTTTGTAAGAAAAAAATTTAAATTTTATTACCGTATATTCCGGCGTATAACGCGCACTTTTAATACAAAAAATAACATTGGAATCTACGGGTGCGCGGTATGCGCCGAATATAAAAAAATTATGGATTAAAAAAATTTAAATATAGAAAAATACTTTTATTTTAAAGAAATAACATACCTTTACCTATATACTTCATTGATTTTCGTTATTACATAAATAGTTCATTATATTTGTCTTCTGCTATCAATTACAATTATTAAAATTTTTTTGTATTACAATTACAATTTTTTTTTTTTGTATTATCTGTAAGGTGGGACCTAAACATGTCCCACTCTAAAAGACTTTGGGGTTTTCTAACGCAACCAGGATGGATTTGACAGATGTTTTTTACCCACAATTTAACACCATTTTTGTCCATCCAGAATCACATTATTGCTGTTTCAATTCTACCCTCACATACATGTCAAATTCAGTTCTTTTATTTTTGCAAAAGATAGGGAAAAATACTTTTTATTTACGATCTTGAAAGACGAGATATTGCACATGTACAATCCAAATTTTCGTCCGCATTATACGAAGAGTATATGTTAAAATTTAAAAAAAATTAATTAGAAATTACGGGTGCGCGTTATGCGCCGGAATATCCGGTATATGTATAATAAATGATTCTATACTTTACACATGTGCAATCTTTTTATGTAATCAAACCAAAACATGTTAAATAAAGCTACCAAAAGCCTACCTCCATGAGCATCCAGATCATGTGTTCCGTGATAACCATATGAATCATACTGTAAAATGTAAACAATAAAATTAGAATGAGAAAATTTTTATAAAAATATCTTTTCAGGGTTAAAAATACAAAATATGTAATGGAAGAAACAAAAACCTTCTCCTGTTGTTACCTTGGTTTTACACTTGTAAAATGACTGTCAAAGCTCATTTTAAGGAATTCATTTTTATTTATTACTTTTCAAATTTTATCTTGCCCCTAACTCATTCAGTCTTAAAATTTATTTAATGGAAAGAAATCTGCCAAAAGACTTAAAACTGTCACCCCTAGAATTCGCAGGCAGTCTAATGAAAATTATGTGGAGAAGTGTCCCTTTTCATCCATATCATATATTTTCCAGTTTGAAGTTTTCCCAGCATATAATATGATTATGGCACTGGTATCAGGTCCGAAAAGTATATTTAAAATGTTTGCGGTATTTGAGATCAAGTTGTTTGTCACAAATCCAGAGTTAATGAACAGGTAAGTGTTGTAAAAGTCCAAATGATCCCTAAATACAACAAGAAGTAATTTAGGTCAAAAATTAGAGTGCACGAAATATAATTTCCTCAAGATTAAATAAACTCACTGGAAATGCCATAAATTAAAATTTATCAATAAAATTGAAGAGTCTATAAGGGTCTGTCTAGGTTTTTCTGAGAGGTACCTATTTTGTGAAAATTTAGACATAATTTGTGAAAAATTAAAAATTATATTAAAAAATCAACACAAAAATATGGTAAAAATATGAATTTAAGGGATACAATAATAAAATTTTAAGAAAAGTATTTTGTGAAACTTCCGTTTTTCCTAAAGATGAATTTGTGAAACTACCGTTTTTCCTAAAATTGAATTTGTGAAGGTACCGCTAAACGGTAGTAAATTCGGCCTGGACAGACCCCTGACTCTAATTAGAGTATTAGGGGAAAATATAACTGAAAAATATAAGACTTAGAAAAAAAAAGATTTCAAGCTTATTGATTAGGACTCGAACTATTATAAGTGAATAAATAAAGTTTCGATCGCTGTAAGAAGTTCTATTGGTTAGCAATTCAAAACATTTGTACAAGATGTTCTAACTATATATTTAAAATGAGGTTATGATTAATATAACCTTTATAATACTCACTTCATCGAAATATTCTTCCGAATACTCCATTTGTGATTTCTTATTTTTATCCAGGATTGCAAAAAAAAGAAATTTAGTTAATTAAAGTTTTTAAGATGACAACTCAGATTAAAAATTAAAATTTACAAACACGCAAACTGGATAAAGTTACGGTTATAAAGTATTTCCAGAAGCTTTGAGTTATTAGTTTGAATTGGCATATAGCTCGCATTGAGAGACAATGGGCGTAAACGTTAAGATTTGTTTGTTGATATGATTTGCTTATTTATTAATCATGCAAAAAATAATAAAACAAAATAAAATAGCAGGAGAACTCCCCCCCTGACAGTGTTCGACGTTTATTCGTTAGAGGAAAATTGCTGTAGGTGTAGTTAATTTGCCTCGATGGACATCCATTCCGCCCTTCCTCAAAGAGGCTGGAGTGAGTACACTAGCTTCACGAAATAAATAGCTTTCAGCAAAATTCTACTTAAGACACCTTTCCCCCTATCATCTTCTTCAGCTCCCTCCATCCCTTTTTCTATAAGGTAAAATAATACCACTTATACAACTCAGGCATAAATGGACGTTGTTGTCTCCAACTCAAATACCTTCAAATGTTTAAATTTATCTTGATAATTTACCATTCCGAACGGAAATTTACTCCCGCTACAGGTTCGAGCCTTTTTTGAAGAGTTTCGCCTTCGGAATCTCAAATTGTATTTTTCTGGAAACAGATGGATCGAAGCAATGAGACAAAACTGGCCTGGAAATATATACCTCCAAAGGGTAAACGATCTCAGGTCAGCTTCCTCCTCATACACCGGTCTTTAACAGCCGAGGACTGGCCATTTTCTTTGCCTGCTCTCAAATACTGTGTTGCAAGCAACGACCACTATATCGGTCTATCGAACAGCCGTTCGATCCGAACAGCCTGTCTATCACCAAAGCACCCGAAAATCTCTGAGAATCTCTCTTCTTCTTCTTGACCAAATTACCAAATCAAATCAGACAGTGAGATCTCTCTTATTTAGCTGAGTTCTATTTCACGCAGGAATAAAAGAAGATGAACAAGCAAATCAGCTTGCCAAACAAGCGCTAAACCAAAATATCATTTAACATCTTTCATCACCTCAAAATCTTAGACAAGCCTTTATTAAGAAAAGAGCTCTATGAAGAATTCAGTGCATGAAAGAGTTGCAAATACTTCCTTTTCCTTTCTTTACTAATCAGCTCCCGAAATCTTGATGTTCACCAGGCTTAGAACTAAATCTCTTCTGAGTAATGTGATTTACACAATTGCAAATTGATCCCAAGCTGAAACTTCACGTACTGCGGAAGTTTTGACGCTAACGATAACTTCCTTCTGGAATGTCTCTCATTCCACTATGGTCGTAAGGAGCTTTTCCAATTCTTATCTCTTCAGAATACAGCATTTACTGATATAGTGAACTTGTTCTTTAATCCTCGCACAAAACTCCAAGATCGCAACACTCAAATAAGTCATCTGGGAAGAAGTTCGTTCCATGTCTTGACCCTTCCCTTTCCTCCTCTTTTTCTCAGTTGTATGAATGGTGTTTTCGACACTAGGGAACGCTGCATGCCGCCTATACCTCCGGGTTACTGTTTCCGGTGTATTTTAAAGCCATTGGGCTAACAACGTGATCATTGTGTTTTAAGATTCTTGCAAACGTGAAATTTGATTACTTATTACCTGTGTTTACTATGCAAACAATACTTGTGTTTACAATGCTAAAGGTGCTAACACTACCGTAAGATGGTGCACAGCTTGCAACAAGAGCAAACAGAAATAAACAAATGGAAAGAGAATAATCAAGACTGCCAAAAAAGCGATTTATTCAAAATCTAGCAACCATGTCACCTTTTTCAACAATATATCTATAAATAACAAAAACAAAGTTTCACTTCAAACTCACCAAAATTACATTAATATAGTATGAAATGCGGCAAATTTGAGCTCAGAAATTATTTAATTTACTGTTTGTCTAAGATAGGTACTCTGACCGCCACTAAGTCTGCGGCAGTCTAGTGCTATGGAAGCAAGAAGAGGGCATTTTAGGGAGGGTAGCTTCGATGAAGAGGTCTCTTTTTCTCTCGCCGAAACCAGTCCTATAGGACTGGTTTCGGCGGGAAGAAAACTACTAGAAAAGAGGGACCCCGCACCCCTACTTAAAGTAATCATATCTCGTTACTAAAGTCACCGCCACAGTTCCAGGCGAATGTCTGGCAGAGTACCTATCTTAGACAAACAATACTTCTCTTATTGAAAACGAAATTATCCGTTTGAAAATATCGCCTCTCAGAATGAGCTGTAGTAAGCAGTTGCAAACTTTCTAACCGGAACTAGAGCAGGTATTGAGCTCGAGATTGTTATTGACGAGTATTGACGCGTGTTTTTTTTGCTTGGTCTCATTTGATTCGTAAAGAATTTATTAAAGAAATTTATTACTTTTACTCAAAAAAAATTATGATTTAAATTTTTCACATTTTTTTCATATTTTCATTGTGAATTTCAATTCATTGTGGACATAGAATAATATATTTGTATTCAATGAAAAAGTCCAGAATTTTTTTTTTTGAATCACATTCCTTACCTTCGACCTTTGTAACAATGTTTTTTGTAACTGAAAATACCAATCAACAAGGGTGAAATCAAATACATTTTTGCGCAAACAATCTCGTTCAGAAGAACAACAAATCAAGAATCAAATCGTAAAATATTGTTTCTTTGACAAAGAAAATTACACCATATACTGTGTAAGATAATGGATAATGGATGCTATGTCTCAAAAGATTAAGCTTGCTTACTTAAATATATTTTTCATCTCTACCTCTTACTAGAACAATAAAACAAGGGGAAAGAGAGAAAAATAATAATAACCGGATAAAAAACCGGAAAGCCGAAAAAAGGGACAAATATTTTTTTAAAAGATCCGGAAAATAAAAGATATAATCTTTTCCTCAGCCCACTCGATTATATCCGCAAAAATTGTATTGACCATAGGAATGCACCACAATATTTTCCACTTTCCAAAAAATTTTTCGCATTTGCTTGTCAAAAATATTTTTTTTTAATTTCCACGAAGTATTTAAGAACTATGTTTTATGTAGTTTTCAGTTCCTTACTGTTTCGCAACTTAAAAGTTTTTAATCTATGAATCAAGATAGAAACTAACATACTTCCATCCCCACTTTGCACGCTAATGGTCAAATCATGTGAAGTGTTGCCATAGATAAAGAGTTCTGGTCTGCGTTGTCTATGGATGGGTGATCGTGTAAAGCTAAGGGTGGTGGAGCTAGTGGTAAAATTGCTCTTTCAAGACTTCCGGGTTAATGCTTCCGATATATTTTTATGCCGCAGATTGAAAAAACGCGCCATCATATTATTGCATCGTATCTTTTGCAGTATTTCACATGTACCGAGTTCTTTCTTTCAGCCTTTAAACTTCAGCATTATCATATTAATATTATAATCATTAGAATATTTTCTAATTAGGCTAACTTAAAAAGATATTTTTAAAGATATTTTTGGCGACATTTTATTCAAATGTAGCCAAATAAGGGATAAAATACAAAACATGGCAAACCTTAAGAATTATTCACAATGAGATATTAACTTTCCAAAATTTTTTTTGGCCTTACGACCTCTGAGAATCAATACATTTCTGAAAGCTCTTATGAATGGTACAATTATGTTTAGATTTGAACCCAAATTACAATAACAAAACTGCATAGAATATTAGACTTGTTCACACATCGCCTCGTAGTCATAATATAAGCGGAGGGATACACCGGAAATTTTCTAAATTTCTTCCGGTTTAAGGACGCTTATTATTGTTTACATTAGACTCATTTCGATCGCCGATTCTTCAAAGCTCCAACCCGTTCTGACTTTTAACTCTGCTAGCCATTTGTCCCTAGCTGCGGTCAGTGTGCGGGTGGGATGCCTCAGGGATGTTTCTCAGACCGTCGCCAATAACCCAATGTGCAGGTCTAGTGCGGCGTAAATAAACTACAACAACAACATCTGCTAGCTACTTAGCCTCAACCACAAGCTTTATTATTGGAAACACAAAGCTATAAGCTAATGCAGAGTGCTTGTCACACTTTTCTGCAATTCCTCTATCAGTCCGTCCCTGCTGCAATCTACTATTTTAAAATGTATTTTATTGCGGGAAATTTGGAAATAATAACTGTAAAAAAGAAAAGAAAAAAAACATTGATTTTATCCCTCCTTAAAATTTGATTCAATCTTGTGTGGCATTTATACATTTAATAATTTTACGAACAACAAAGTGTAAAAATTTTGGTTGTTAAATTAAAATTTTATTACTTATGACACCCTACGTTATTTTCGCTTTTTGTTAAATGTGCGTTTTGTTTGTATTAATTCACGTGATAACTATTTAAATGCGAACAAATTTTATCGAATCTTAAAAATGGAAACAAAAAAGTCGCCTTTTTGTAAATTTTGTTAAATCTATCATTTGAAGGTAAAAATTACATTAAGATGACTCTTAAATTATCTAATAATAATAATTATTTCTAAAGTATAAAAAAAGTTAGTTCATTATAGTCATACTTAATAATAAATGTCTTACATTTATGTTTGTTTGAAATGTTTTAATGTCCAAAATATTTGCTGTATTCATATTCATTGATATTTATGTTTTATCCATTTTTTCTCTAATTCTGTCTCTGAATAATACATTTCAGGTCAAGACTTGATTAACATAAAGAACAAATTGACTTGAACCCTTGACACTATTTTTCTGGGAAATTAAATCTATATCTTTTATGGCAAATTAAAAACTTTGTTAGCAACATTTTGTAGATTTATTAGCTTTTTTTGACAATCTAAGAGAAAACGTTATGAATTCCAAAGATTTAAACAAGAGCTGAGAGTACACAAATTTAATTTAGAAAATGAAGGAAAGAGAAAAAATTCACTCACACTGAGCCCACATTTTTCCTATTCATGCTCCATTCCAAGCTGAACATTTTGCTAAGCTCCCTGCTAATTGGAAAAAAGCATGCATTTTAGATATTCCTACATAAATTAAAACTTTTCCCAATGTATTATTTCATAAAACAACATTTCTGCAAAAAATTAAGAAACTACATTGGTTGGGCAGTTTAGCACTCTATTATTGAAATAAAATTTTATTGCGTAAAAAATGAGCTTAACTCTTTTATAAATCTTAATTCCTATCTACTTATGTGAGAGTGCCAGGTAAAAAACACTTCTGCAGCGAAGACAAGGCTGCTTTTTTTTTATTTTTATTATTTTTTAAAATTTTTATTTTATTCATGATTCTCTAATTCCTATATGAAAACATAAACACAGAAATTAAAGTGTCCAATTTTACTCTATTGTTTATATAATAGGTTAATGCTAAAATTTGGAGCTAAATGTGTTTTGAGTTTAAAAAGTAACTAAAATTTTTGTAGAACTTATTTTTTTTGTAAAAATACTTTTTAAATTAAAGTGTTGCATACTTTTATGTATATATTTATCCACAACTTTAATTAATGTTGTTTCTTTCAAATTTTTCTAGTTATATTTCATCAATAAATTAACAATGGAATTACAAAGTTCAGTGAAAGAACCTATTCTTGTATATTGCCATGTACAATCTGTCACAAGCAATGTTTCTGAAATATGCCTTAATGTAAAAGATAAAAATACTGTTGTATTGCATCCGGATGGAACTAAAAATGTAAAAGATGTAAGTATAATTCTTTATTCTGCTTTTTTAATTCATTATTATTAAAATCATAATATATTTCAGTGCTTACTAAATATCTGACCCAGAGTGATAATTTAGAACCTCAACTTTTCCTTTTCTTCTTTGCCCAGTTGTATGCAAATGTATTATGTTTTCCCTTTCGAAAACAATTTTTGTTGGTTTTAGGTTTGATTTGTTGTTTGGTTGTTTTTAGGTTTTCAAAAATTTATTTAAAAATTTAATGTTCAGTGTAGTTTTAAGTTCCAATATAGCTTTTAATCTTAAAACTGCTTAAAAGGTTTCAAAATCAAGACATATACTTACATACTTTCTATTCATGTAACTGTCCACATGTTTATGCTGAAAACATAGCAAGTATAGCCATAGGTAAAGAATTCTGGTAAGTCCTATAATACAACTAATTTCAATAACCAATTTCAAGGAACACATAATCTATAAATGAAACAAATTTTCATTGGTATTTAATATTTAAAAAAAACTTGTTTATGTTCACTTTCCTGTTTTTTGTTTCTTGATGTATTGATAATTAGAACAAACAATGTTGTATTACTCAACATATTAGTCTCTTAATTCTTTCCCATCTCCTTACAAGTTGAGATGTCAAGGTTTGACTATATCTCTATATATATTTTTGTTTATTTGAGTGAGTTTTAAATCAAAATATTTCTGAAGCTTAAAAGTTGCTTGTTCTGTATTCCTTAAAAATCTGTTATTAGTGTTACTCGGTATCATTTTGCATTAAAAGATGCTCATAGTTTTGTTATTTGAATTGTTTTCTTCTAAAACTAAGAGTTATTCTATCTATTATGTATCTCGATCAGATTTTTTTTATTCTTCTAGATGTTTTAATTCTAATTCTGCCTCCGTAATCTCATTTTCTCTCTATAATGCTATATCATCACGTTATTTTAAAGACGAGTATAAAAAGATTTGATTTTCTTTTTCAGCTATAATTGAAAATTTTTCTTCATTTTTTCAGATAATGCTTGTTTGTTTCAGAATTAGTATCACTAAAAATAATGTAGGGGATGCAGGAAATAGTTGGTCTCATTAAAAAATTATGTGTGATTTTTTTATTTTTAAAACTTACTATTATAACTTTTTCTTGTCTTAATATTTACAAAACAGGGTACCAATTAGGCCAGAATGGACCTTCGTCAACCTTACATTCATTTCCCAGTTAGTCTTTTCTTACAAACCTACAGCTTGATTAGCCATCATAGACTGACCTCCTTTTATCATTCAATTGATTAATCTCCTATAGTGGATTAGAATTAAGTATAGTATTTAGAGCAGGGCAAGAATTATCCGTTTGGCAGTTTGCTATTAACTATCAAATATTTAAATCTGACAAGTATAATCTTTTAAAATGAAACTAGAATTCAAATTGAATTATTTATGTTTGAACAAAAATGTTGAGGTATACATTTCTCACCTATTGCTTTTTGAAGCATTGAAATTTTAAAAGCCCATTAAAAACTAAACTAAACTAAACTCAGCGGCGAAACAGCCCATAGAGGGCCAAGGCCTACTATACCCATCTCAGTTTTCTTGACCTTGGGCTCTAGGGTGCAGGAGCAGATGTTCCGATCAGGTGGTCAGACGAACGCGGAAGCCCCAGTGTTTAGTTCCCAAGCATGCTTGGTACTTATTTATCTACCCACTGAAGGGATGAAAGGCTGAGTCAACCTTGCCCGGCCTGAGGATTGAACCAGGGACCTGTGGCATGACAGCGTGAAGCACTACCGCTCAGCCACCGGGCGTCCTTAAAAGCCCATTATTTTTGGTTTAATATTAACATCATTGAAATAAATGTTTCGATTTTTACGTTTCTGCATTCTTTTACAGTTTTGGTTACTAAAAAGTTCTTCATAATGTTTTAAAAATAGTTTATATTTTTCTTGAATGTTAAATAGTAGCGAGCACAACTTTTAATCTGGCAAGTATCTTTATGACTTGTATCTTTCTAGGAACATTATTTTTTCTCTCAGGTGTTTGATTCAAAGACCACTCAAAAAACATTATTTGATCACATTGCTCTGCCTATGATAAAAGACTTACTGCGAGGAAGAAATGGTAAGATATTAATTATAATTATTTATACATCGTTGTTACTCAATAGTTTGTGCTAAATATTTTTAGATACAAACATTTTGTTAGATTCATGTTACTCAAATTGCTTGTTTTATATCTTGAAAGTTTTTTGTGAATGTTACATCAGTTAAATGTTTGACCAGGGCTATCAATGAACTTGAACTAGCTACTATATTTGCAACTTTTTAATTATGTCTTGAATTTTTTAAAATTTTAATATTCAGATATAAAAAAAAAGATATGAGAATTGAGCTGTATGGATATTTTTTTCTTGCTTGTCCATGTTTTCATCAATGGTGTTGTTAAAATATATAATTTTTAATGATGTTAAAAAATCTGAATTTTATGAACTATATGAAAATATGTAGCCTTAACTGTGAATAGCTTTTAAAAAACAAATAGGATTTACTATAAAATCTGTGGAAAATTGAGTACACATGATTACAAATTGAAAAGTTACTAGTCAAAAGTATGATTTGAGATTTGTGCATCTTCAAGATATTGTTTAAAAATTGGGATTTTAAAAACCATGTGAAAGTTTGTCACAATAACCGTTAAAAAATTGAACTGAAAACCATATGAATTTACAAGGAAGTCATGTGTTGAGCATATTAAGAAAGAAATTATTGAAATTTGCAATGCAAAATTTGTTTGCTGTAATATTGTATTTAAAATATTGAGTATTCAAACACAACTAGGAAATCCTTAGCTCATAACTGTCGACAAAATGATTGAAAAGCCACATAGATTCGCGAGGAAATTGGCACCGATCAGGCACACTAGGAAAAATTGCTATTCAGATGAGGGACTCAAAATTTACCTGCCGTGGTAATATTATAGTAGAACTGTTAGAATTTTAGGAACCACTTGGAAATCCATTGTTATAATAAGGTATAAAAGGTTTTTAAAAAACTACAGATTCTAAGCAGGTTTGTGCACACAGTTTTGATTGAGTAGGTCAGAAAACTTAGTTATTCAGATATGCAACTCAATATTAACCTGTCACGTATTAAAAATATCAGGATTTTAAAAACTGTGAAAGTCTGTAGCTACAACTAGAAAAATAGTGGTTGAAAAACCACATGGATTTATGCACTTAGTTTTTTTTTATGTCATTATAATTGATTCAAATATATTTCAGCAATATAATAATATCAAAGATTTGGTATTTTTACCACGGTAACTGTGTAATTTTTATCTAAGGCTCATTTGTTTAAAATTTTCCTTTAAAATCTTCTGATTTTCATAGTTGTCCTGATATTTCTAATAAAAATATTTTTTCCTGATTTTTTAGTTTTTTGTCCTGATTTTTGTGTGTTCAGGACATTCCATTTTCTAAGAATACCAATGGGGAATTTCAATAAATACATTTGAGGATATGAAGGATTTGAATCGACACCTATTCATTTTTTAATTAATTCGAGTTGAAATTACAAAATTAGATATTTCCAATTTAGGAGCAATCTACTAATTAAATTCCTGGTTTAGGCATTTAGCCTTACCCATATGATTCATTGTTTCAACCTTTTTGTGAATTGAATCATTCTATGAAAAAGAAAGCAAATTAGCAGTTTTACATTACTAAGTTTTGATATTGAAGAATTCTGGGGTTGTATGAAATTTTATTATTTTGAGAAAAAGTACTAACAAATCTTGTTGAGTGATTTTAAAAATGATCAATTCTAGCAATCAACAATACAGTAATTATATTATTGAATTTACAAGTGGTAATTGAGGAATCATCTATTGAAATTACTTATATACAAAAATCTTAAATGACATAGTCTGTGTGTTTTCATTTTTAAATTATTGAATCCTGTTTTAAAATTATTTGATTAGAAAAATTGTGAAGTCAGTTGAAAATTTTAATTCTATATTATTATGGGGGAACATTAAGTATTTGATGCTGTTTTTTTTTAATACTATAATAATTTTTTAGTATTGATTTGAAACTTAGAATTGGTTCTGTATTGATAAAATTTTACTGGAAATTTTTAAAAATTCCTAATTTAAACAAAGTGATTCTGAAATAAAAAATAATATATTTTATTATTCTTTAATGAAAATTGCTTTTATTGATAAATGTAGAGCAAATTACACTTTTTTCTTTTAAATTTTTTTTGTTATTAAAAGTAATTTGGTTAATGCATATTGTTCCTGAAGAAGGTCAGGAATTTTTAAAAAAAAGTTGTTCTGATTTTTTATTTGGCCCACTTTTAAGCCTGAATGCTTCAGATCCAGTGGATCAAATGGAACTTCATACCATGCTATAATAAATGCTATACAAAATTGATTCATACCATGCTATACAAATTTGAATAAAAAAAAAAATGAAAAAAGAAAAAAATATGTTTTCTACTTTGTCTGAAATTTTTTTGGCTGCTAAATATTCTTCAAGTTCTAGAGACCCTGTGTAAGATTGTCATTTCTAACATTGACATCAATGATAATCATTGTAATCAGTGTTATCTACTATTTAAATTTTTTTCTTTTTGCACTTGTTATTTTCATCAACAAAGTTGTTATATTACACTTCTATGTTATCTTGTTGTGTAACTACCTCTATAAATATTAAATACCAATTAGGTTAGGTAGGTATTAGGTATTGGAGGTACCTTTTAATAGATGAAGGTTGACATATTAAGTAATTATAGCTCCTCAATGTTGACATTGATGGCTGGTCCACATTAAACTGTTGATTTGCTTAAAAATAAACCGCTCAAAGAAGAAAAAAATCCGGTGAAGTAAATAAAGTCTCCCGATCAATAAACAATATTGAATAAAAAAAAGTAATGAGCGAAATGCTATAAACAAAAATTAAGAAGAAAAAAAATGAGTGAATGTTATTAAAAAAATGAAAATATAATGAGCAAAATTTATTTAAATCAGCATGAATCAACTAGTGATATTCGTTCATCGAATTCTATCGCAGATAAAATTCTGGAAAGGGAGTAATGTAGCGTAACTACAATTATAAATATTGAAGACCAATTCACTAGTATATAAGACATGTTGACTTGATTCCATCTTGAGGTACCTTTTGATAGATGAAGATTGACGTAGTCGATAATTAATTCCCTTAAATTTTATTTATTAAGTTTTTGTTATTTTCCTACTTCCTTTTATAACATATATTATTTAGATACATTAGGTTTTTTTCCCTTGTCATCCTATAAATGAAATATAATGCATTTTTATTTTCCTGAAATTTATGAGATTAATATATAGATTAAAAAGAATTATATAGAGTACTAAAAAAAGCATTTGCCTTTAATTGTGTTTTAGATTTATTTTTATGTCATTTACTTTTATTTAGGTGTTTTGTTTATGCATGGAGTTTTGTTCAGTAACGAAATATTAGTTCGATGTATTGAAGTGATATTTAACAGCATAAGGAATTTACAAACTCCTGATTGTGTGAGTACTTGGCTGTTTATATGTATATTATATAATTCAGTATAATTGTTAAATATATTTTGAAATTGAAATTTTAGGTTGGTGAACCAGATCAAATAAGAAGGTACAAATTGTATCCTTCTTTGCATATCTCAAATGGCTATTCAAATGAAATTGACTACATACAAGAAATTGAATCTAGAAAGTACTAAGCAAATTCTCATTTTCTCTCTTTTTTTTCTTCCTTTTTCTTGTTTATGTTTTCTAAATTACTTAATGTTAACACTACACTTTAGAAATTTTGTTTTAGAACCCATGTATTTAAAGTTTTTACAATCTACACTCTTTAGTATGTATCTTCCACTGTAAGGATTGCTACATAAAATTTGCTATTCCAGACATGCTGTGTTTTTTTATTTTTTTTATTTAAGATTATTATTACCACTAAACTTTTCATTTCAATATATTGACTGAAATTTAATTTTTTTTAATTCTTTGGAAAATCACTTCAAAAATTTCAAACTATATTAAATACCATAATAAACATTTCTACTTAAATGCTTTCATCTAAAATAGGTAATTTTATTTAGCAAAAAGCTTATAAAGAAGTTATTTGAACCACAGTTTCTTTCAATGTTACTTATAAAATAAAATATAAAACGTAACACAGCCACATAGGTCTTTATCTATGATGGTTATGATTTATGGTCAAAAAGTTAATGAAATAAATATTACACCAATGATAATCAGAAGTGTATATTGCTACATTAGCAGAAATCCACATGAAATCCAGTGTGCGCTTATTACACTAAAAGAATACATTTAGAATAATTGTACATTTCTTTCACATTTTTTGTCAAAATTAATTTAGTTCTGTTATTTTTTAAGTAAATATTTGTGATATTTTTGAGCAATTTTAATCAAACAACTTTACATTTTAATGCCCCTCTCCATTGATATATTGAATGTTGACTGTATAGCTTTTGTCTTAAGTTTTCACTTCATATTAAAAAGGAATCTAAGTAAAAAATCCAACCTGCATTTTTATAAAAAAGAAAAAAAATTGTTGAGGGGTAGAAAATTCATGTATACTGCACATATCACTAACAGTTTTGGATTAAATTAAAATTAAAATGTGAAATACCTGCTTTGAATTTCCATTAATAAGTTCTCATATTAAATAGGAAAAGTGGCCAATCTATATGTGGTATGCAGATTCAAGATTCTACTACAGTTCAAGCTTGCAAACATAAGAATTATTCCGTTTTAGTCAGTAATGTGGATATTTATAAGAATTATATTTATGATCTTCTGGAAAATTCTCCAAATAGTCAAAAACTCTCAAAGTATATATTTTTTTCTTATAGTTTAAGCAATTTTATATTTTTTGTAATTTTTATAATTTCTGTACAATGTACAACATTGTTGTTGAACTTAATTATTTATGTTTACAATATTTCAATTTTCCCCCTTTTAAACTTGATATTTAACTGTTATATTGCATGTAGTCAAATGGAGATAAAGTAGAATAACCTTAAAATATACACAAGATAAATTATACTTTAAAGTAACAAATTTCTGATAAATTTGCTAACTTGTTATAAAATATATGCATTACATTAAGTAATGAACATGAATTTCCTTCTCCTGAGATTAGAAATGTTTATTTCATGTCTGTCTTCTTTGCAAAAGTGTACAGCTTATCACTTTTTTTAAAAATATTGTACAGCTTTTCTGATGATGATAAATTTATACATAAGTCGTAGAATATTTTGCTCAAACAATTTTTTTTACTTATTTTTTTAAAATATTTCTAGTCTTAATACTTTGATCTATAGTACCAGAAGGTTGTAGAGGGTAGAAATTTAAAATTCCATTCCTTATCTAGCTTTATGGAGTTATTTTTTTTGCTACGATATGAAAAAAAATTACAATAATTGGTATCTCTATGAAAATATTAGTTTTTAACAATTATATTACTTGCATAATTTTCAAATTTAAATTTTCACATACTAGGACTCAATCTTAATCATTTCAGAGCTATTAAATAATCAAATTAATTAGAGCAGATGTAATTTTAGGTTGCCTACAAAATCAGTCATAAAAATGTATCTTCTTTCTACATACCCTTTTTTTCAGTAGTTTTGGATTCTAGATTCTTGACTACCAAAATATGGGTTGTACAAATCTGTAAAATATGGTTCCAGTAGTTAAAGAGGATAAGTTTGATCTCCTTAATGTTAATTTTCCTTTTTGGTACTTTTCCTAACTCAAAGATGTTGTATTTTTAAATTTTTTATTCATCAAGAGCTATATGACCAATTCCCTATAAATTTAATATTTTGTCACTTAAAATTATAAAGATTAAATATGTGTAAAGATTTAAATAAATTACAGTTCAAAGATTTTTCAACTATTGTTAAATAACGCATAATTGTAAAAAAAATTTTTTTAAGGGAGATTTCCTGAAAAAGTATCCTGAGATATGAAGAAATACACAAAAAAGGAAATTAATGTTGAGGGAATTAAGCTTTTCATTACTGTCCTACCTTAACTATTAGAACCATATAATTTTCAGATTGCAGTATCACCTTTTCTCTGAGGGTCAAGATCTCAAATCTGTCAAAAAAATATGTATATTCAGAGAAAATATGCTTTTCTGTCTGATTTAATAATTAAAATATCTTCTTCACTTATTAACTAGCATGATTAAGGTTAGATCTTTGAACCTAGTATGCCAAAAATCAATCTTAGATTAAAAGTTATTCAAGCATTTTTTTTTTTTTGTGCACTGTGGTTACCTACAAAAAACATTACGACCTATGAATTCACATCGAATGTACTAGTTAAGAAATGTTTATTTTATAAAATGTAACAAGTTATGGTGCATGGTTTATTTATAATTTTAATTCATTTTCAAGATTAGTGCTATTTTTTTTACTTGAAAGTTGTTAAGCTAGTTTTAAAAGCCATTTTGTTCCTCTTTTATTGATTTCAAGTGTATTCTTTGTAGGACATTGCAAGAGGATCATACTGGTCATATTTATGTGTCTGGGGCTATTGAAAAACAAGTAATAACTGCAGAAGAAGCTTTGAGAGAATTTGAAAAGGGACAAATTAATCGAAAAAATCTTCTCAAAAATTTGAAGACTGAATCTAGTTGCTATAGCCAAACTGTTTTTGTTATTAAGGTTCTTCACACTCGTTTAAATACCGGAGCTGATAAAGTATCACAGGTTAATTTTTTCTTTTTAATTGTTATTCATCACAGCATTAAAGTTATTATTAATTATTTATTATTTCTTTTTTGTTGAATTGAATTACATAGAGCACTAGCAGTTACGAAAAATGTCTTTGATTTAGAAATGACATAATTATCAATTATTCCTACATTTTAATTTAACTTATATTGCTGGTAAATAAATATTTTGCTTTTTCATTTTGTGTAAATAAATACTTTTTTGTTTTTAAAATAGATAAAAATATTGTTGGTAAATTTTTTAAAAAATGCACTTTAAATTTTTTTTTATTTCAAGAAAAAACCAACCAAGAAAACAAACACTCAAATATTTGTTTAAACTGAACATTTTTTTTAAAATTTTGAGTTAGTAAAAAGTTAACTCACCAGAGGCTATTTCGAAAATTGCAAACATTTAGCTGCAAGTTTTTTAATTACTTGTAGAGAATTAAATGATGTTGCTTGTCACACATTGTTGCCAATTTACTGATGGTACTTTTTATGATAATTTTATTGTACATCTATGTCCATTATACATATATACATTGTACATATTCCATTTTATGATAATTTCAGAGAACAGCTTTTGCTTGTTCCAAAACGGGTATATTTCTCTAAATTATTTCAAGCAACCTATATTTGCTCATCATCATTCATGCTGTCCCAAATCTTGTCTAACCAGGATCCCATCAAGGGGCTTGTCATCCATCCTTTAGTGGAGCAGATAATTCGAATATTTGAATGAATTCTTAAATCCTGGCATACATGGTGCAGCCTGGATTCACACCCAGATTGGACCATGTTTATCAGATCAGTTCTTTAAGCATAATAAAAGTGGGAAATTTATGGCCAGTTGCCGTCGCTTCTAATGTCACAATTAATCACTTCTTGCATTCTTTGTTAGAAATCCTTATTGTATCATTTTCTACCATATCATTGGTTTCAAACTGTGCCATCATTTGGTCCATGTTTGCAATATTAAGATTTGTGTAGTTATTTTTTACACACAGCTTAAAGAAATCCATTTACAGCATCAACAAAGTTGGAATGCAGTTTCTTGCTTTTATTTGTACCTTTTCTCCTGAGATGTTAAATCTTTTCCACCAGTTACAGAGAAGAAGCCTTGAAATCATTGAATATGAGAAATTGAAATTTACAGTGCTTCTTCTAGCATCCAATTTGAAACTGCAAACTGTTTTCACTTTCTTTTTCTAAAAATTTATACTGTGTATCATTCAATTTTATCAATAGCGGTTTCCAGCTGCTCATCAATTAATTTGATTTTTTACATCTATGGTTATTGGTCAATAATACTTTTTTATTGATCTTATCTTTGATGCTTTTTCTGTCGATTTTAAAATGTCTTAAAGTTTGAACTTGTAAGAATTTATTTTTTACATCTTGGATCAAATAATTGGTATCGGTATAGACTGCAAAGAGATTTCAAACAGACTGATTTTCATATTGCTATGAACATGTGCAGGTTTAAAGATGCCTCATTCCATTTATATTTTTCTTCTTCATTCAGGTCAATTCAAAGAAGAAAAAAAAAATTAAATTCTCAAACCGCTTCCTAACTCTGAAATATTTCATGCTTAATGACCAACACTCTTACTGACCATTTTCAATTGATCTGAATTGAGACATGTGGCCTCACAAGAGGAATGAAAACAAGCTTTTCGCTACAATTCAACTAGCATGCTTTGAACATTAGAAAATGTTTAAGAAAGTTAAACAGCTAGTGATGTCAGCAGATATACTTTGAGGAGTCTGTCAGTCAGGATTAAACCACAGACGTACACGTGGTTTAATCTTGATCTTGATGCAGCCTCTGTAGAAAAAAAAATTTGAATATGCACTAGGAGCTACTGAAAATTTTTATCTTATTTTCTCACTATCCTTTTTTATCCCCCACGAATGAGGAGAAGCACTTGACGGAGTTGGGATATTAAAAGGTTGTTGTTCGATGTAGGTTTATTCAGTTTTGATCGTTGGTCGATGTGGGAGGTTGAGAGGGGCTTATTCAGTTTTGATTGCTGGTCAATATTTGTATGAAACTATGGATGGAATTATAGTTTTATAGTGGAATTATAGTTTTTTTTAAGGAATACCTAAAAATAATATAAATTTTTTTAGGTATTTCTAAATTTTTTTAGGAATACCTAAAAATATTTTCTTCTGACCTTTTACCAATTGTTTTATTACTTGCATGTTATTAAATGATTTTACATATCATAGGAATAATTCACGAATTACACAATTCATATTAATTTCTTATTTTTAATGTTGATTTTGTTATGATTGTTTTATTTTTTATTTGTAGTACCCCATTTTAATCGCAGTGATTTTTTAATTCTAGGAGAAAAGAAAATTTAGTCAACTATGTATTGTCTATCTTGATAGAGACAAGGATGTTCCACAAAATAGAATTTCACATCAAAATTTTCAGAATAATGGTAATGCTTTACAATTTTATTATTTGCATTTATTTTTAGATTTTTATTGTGTTTATACATTCTTATGAATTTGAGTTTTCATATATTATTCACTGGAAAATAATTTAAAGCTTTCAGTGTTTCATAGCTATAATAATTTACCCTCTAAGATTTTTTTTGACCCCAATTCCTGGTTATCTGCATGACTGACTAGTGTCTCCCTATTCTACAAAATATGTGCATAGTAGAAAATATCCTTTCAAACTTTAATTAAAACTCAATTTATACTGCAATTTTCATTTTAAGTTTCCGTTTATTAATATTATTTTAGAACTGTTTAGATTCTTTAGAACTATATAAACTTTATGTAAATTGCTAGATAATTAATTTTTTATTTTGTAGGGCATGCCTATAAAGCTGTATCTGCTTTACAAAAGTGTTTTGAAGCTTATCGAGAATCATTGAGTAGTAGCATGATAAAGGTAACTAAGATATCTTTTTATAATTTTGTTTTTTGTATTTTTGAACATATTCATCATGTAACTGTCATATTATTTGTAGGTGATCCCTTACAATGATTCCAAATTGACGCAGCTTTTTCAGTCTCATTTTAAGGGAGATGGAAAAATAAGAATACTCATCTTTGTTAGTCCTGTTGTGGAGAATTATATAAGCACTTTAGTGAGTTACTTATAGCTTTAATAAACTTTTTTACCACAAACTAAAGCCTTGGGAGAAATTGGGCTTCAAACCCAAGTACAAGAAATCAAATAGAATTTTTTTCAAAAAGTAATTTCAGGTCAGCTGTTCAATGATGGTTATAAAATGAAATACAAATGCAGATTTATGAAAAGAATATATTTGAAGATCTGAAAGATTTTAAATTTTGATCCATCTTTTTTGTTTTAATTCATAATTTTTGTTGAAATTAGAATAATTTCAATTTAGAGACCGTCTGCAAATTACATTGTGCAGGCATATAGCCCAACCCACAAGATTCATTGTTTCAACCTTTTGGGGAGTTCAGTCATTTTATGGAAAGGAAGCTTTATTATCAATTTTACATTATCAAATTTTTTAATGATGAATTCATAGATCTTATGTTTAGATGTTTACAGCAAATTAAGTAAAAAGTTTTGTCAGATGGAGTTTTGTAGTGTAACAATTACTGATTTGCCTCTGTCATGTGATTTAAAAATATAGTTCTATTCAGCATTACAGTCATCATAGAATTTTCGATTTATGAATTGAGGGATTACCCACTAAAACTATTTTTATACAAAAATGTTAGTTACATTCACCGTGTTTTCATTTCAAGTGCTTTCATTCATTGAAACCTTACTTTAAAATTATTTCATGCAGAAAATTTGGAGCTCAGTAACAAATTTGAATTACATATTAGTATGAGGGAATATTAACTAATTGATTCTGCTAATATAAAACTTTTATCTAATTGATAATATAAAACTTTTCTATATATTGATTTGAAACTATCATAAGTTGTTCAGTAGTGATAACATTATGCTGGAAACTGTTAAAACTTTCTATTTTAAACAAAGCCTGAAATTAAAATAAGTATTTTGTTATTCTTCAGCAGTTTGTAGGACGGTAATAAAAACCACTTAAAATTACGGTTCAAAGTTTCTTATAAAATTGAAAAAATTAATAATAATAATTAAAATTATTAAGTTGTTTTTCTGTTATTTTTTCTCCCGTAAATATCCATAATACCCTTTTACTATTGATAAAAATCTTTGCTTAATTAGATTTTTGAAATTTAAATGAAATTTAATCTGAGTTTGCTGTATGATTTAAAGAATTACTGCATCAAAAATTTTATAAATCAATATTATTATTATTCTATAAGAAATAATTTGAGTTGACAAATTATTTTTATTCAATGGATTAATCAAATAAAATTTTAAATGTATATTTAAAAATTGTAGGAAGCTATGAATTTCGCTGAAAGAAATCAAGATAAATCTTCTGTGTCCTTTTCTTCAGCTGTTCTTTCTGTAGGATCTAAATTCAGTAGCCAAATTCATACGTCTAGAAGGGAATATGAACATAAATGGAAATACTTAAGTAATTGTCTTTTTCTATTTAAAAAAAAAAATCTTGCTTGTTTATTTCAAAAATTAGATAAAAATATGAAATTTTGTATTGTTTTAATAAAAAGTGATGGTAATATAAATTTTATTTTTTTATAATTTTTTTTTAAAAATTCAAAAACACATTCTAATAATTTTATAATTTTAAGTAATATTTTAATAGCTGTAAATATTTTAGCTCTATTGTTTGAAAATTATTTTTCTTGTATGTGAGCAATTTTTTTCATTAACATATACAAATTAATTAATATTTTCGTCTCAAAAATATTTTGTAGAGATGTATCTGTGTCTAATAAATCTCTGTACTAAATGTGATAATATAAACATACTGATTTATTCATACATTTATAGAAAAAATCTTCTAGATCTATAACAAATTATTTTTGATTGTACTACATGGGTTTAGAATAACCCTAAAATTTTATAAATTAACTAATAATAATAATAAAATTAAGGAAAAACACTAAAAAATATTAAGAGCAATTTGATTAAATTGCAGTTAGTTTGATCTTTACAGTTTACTACATTTTGGATTTGTAAAAACATTTATTTAAATGTTTATTTTCAGCACATGTTTCTGGAGAACTGACACCAGCTATTAATATCTCTTCTAGTTCTGTGAGTATTGCGGTAGCTAATTAAATTATTATATTTACTCTTTTTGTCGTTTTGTCGTTGTTTTGTTACAACAATTGTATATAAATGTAAGAATTTAAAACAATTTATTTTGATGCATAAGCAGCATACCATTAAAATGTATTGTGTAAAAGGTAATAATTTGTAACTAAACTTTCATGATGATAAGGAATATTAGATAATTAATGAGTCATAAACTGTATTTTGAATCATTTTAAAGTTTCCAGTTTCATCTAAATAAATTTACGCTATGTACGGGAAATATTTTTATCTGTTAGTTTAATGCTTACTGGACCTGTAAATTTTCTATTATTTGTTAAAATTTTTCTGAATAATTTTATAAACTATTTTTATAGAGTATTTTTAATACCTATTTATTAACAAAATTATCCCTATAGTATAGTATAATTACCCCTATTAGTACTTAAAAATAAATTTAAATAAGTTTTTAAAGCAATAAAACAAAATTTACTTTTTTAAAGCAAGACGCATATTTGGCTTGTGCTGAACAAAGAAATGAAATACTGTATATGAAAAATTAAAAGCTCTTTTTAGGTCAAAAGTTCCATTTTTAAACTCAGCTTAAGAAGTTCATTCAGCTATGGCACCTTCTTTATAAACAGCACAAATTTCACAAGCAGCTTTTGTGACTTTAGAACCTCTACGAGAAACAAACAATAAGAATTCTGAATTTAAAGTTTGATGTGCAATAATTAAACTTGCAAAAGTTTAAAAAATTAACAAGTAAAAAGTTTTGATTTTAAAAAAGTAATAAGTAAAAAGTACAAGTAGAAAACAAGTAAGGATTTTAAGGTACATTTGGAGGAAACGAAAAATTCAAAATGACCTTAAATTTCATTAAAAATGTAAAAAACAAAACAATTATGATTTAAAATGCATTAAATTTTAATTAAAAAAATATAAAACTTTAAAATGCATGAAAAAGTTACAAATTCATTGAAATTGTAAATGTGGAAAATTTACAAACCAGTTAGCATTCAATGTTAGCACATAAAAAGGAGTTTTATTAATTTAAAACTACCAAATCTTTAAGAAAATTTTTTTTTTCTTCAGAATTTGTAGATGAAAATTTTAAAACTTAAACTTTATTTATTTTTATTTTAAAGTGCTTGTATTGGTAATATATATAAAAAAAGTGCAATGAAATAATGGTTTGTGACTTCTTTTTTAATTAACACTCATTAGGACTTGTTTTGTCATAACTGCCCCTTCTTAACTTAAGCAAAACTTAAAATTTGATTTGTTTTTTATATTTTAATTTAATAAATATTTCATGAAACTTATTGTTATTTTTGCTTATTTAGTTTAATAAATTTTTTTGCAGAAAATTTTAATGGAAGATGAATTAAAACTGAATGCTCTGGAAGAATCCCTCACAACCAAGATGTCGAAACACAGAAACTTGACTCAAAAACTAATGGATTTGCGTAAATATTTTTTTTTTTGTTATAGTCATAATTTTACATTTTCAATTTTGAAATTTATTAGTATTAGTGTGATTTAATTTAATACATTTAGTTATAACTTTATTTGCCTTTTTCATAATTCAGAAAAAATAGCTTCATTTCTAAAAATTTTTCTAAAATAATTGTTTTCATTATGTAACTTTAAAATGGTTACCTATAATAATTAAAATGTTATATGATTTCATATATGAGTAGTCTAGATTTCTAGTTATTATAGGCTAAAAGAAAGATAGATAGATACTAGATTTATAGGCTAAAAGGAAGCAATATACTTATTTCATTATTTAGCTAAGATTTCCCTATTTTATATCTTGTGTATGAATTATTTTTATGCAACTTGTAAGTTTTATGAAATGTAGAAATAAACAGTAGGCTTTTTCTTCTTTTTTTTGATACCATAATTCAAATATACATATTTATTGCATACACTATCATGCATTTCAAACTGCTAGGGGGAAATAATTATAGAGTCAGCTGCCTTGATGAAAGTTGCATTTATTAGTTTTATAAACTGAAAATATGGGATAAAATCGGTTAAACTGTTTACAGTTTGGGCATATCGACATAAACACATAGTTGAAAGATTGACATACTGCTTCTGCTTATCACATTATTCTTAAAATTTATGATATGTTGAATCAAAGAGGAAGGAGGAATTAAAGATGCATCATGGATGGTTATGTTTACTTTTAATTTTTGAGGTGGTAATGGACAATTTGAGATGGAAAAAGAATGGTAATTGGTAAAAAGCTGAGATATCATTTGCAGAGTTTGTAAAATAATATTAGACATTGCTTAGTAAGTGCCTTCAAAGTAAAAAGTTAGCTATCTGAGCATTTAAAATGCTGTAAATTTCTTTTTGCTAAAATAATGCACAAAATATCTAACTGGAAATTAAACACTCACTAGGAAAATAAATTAAATTTTTCATATATATGTTAATGCATATTATTGTATGTAAATTTAAGGATAATTTTTATTCTGCTAGTATGAAAGGAGGAGCACCACCCATAAATTTCTAATAATCATTTTTTTGTTGCTTTTTTTGAAAATTGTGGAATTAAAAACAGTGCATTTAAATGGGCCTCTAAAATTCCAATTTTTATACAAGACCTAACACAGAGACCATCTTCTACTTCAATAGCACAACAGTCCTTTTTGCTGGCTCAACCATGAACTCTTTTCAGCATTTTTTTTTATCTACAGCTACATCTCTCCAATTTTTATTTTTTTTCTTCTCAATTTTATCCTGCCATTTACTTGGTTGTTTCTAGCTCAGGATAATTCAAAAAGATTGTTGTGGGATAGTCTTCCGAGCTTTTCTGAATATGGTTCAATTTTACATTTTCTAACTTGGTTTCTTTCAATACAAAGGACCAAAACAAAAGAATAGTATTATACTTATTCCCAAATTTTGCAAGCTTCTAGTGTTTTAAATTAATAAAAATAGTTAAGTTGGTTGAAAAGTTTATTTTAATGTAAACTGAGATTTTAGTAAAGGACAACCATGCACATTTGAGATGTCCCAAAAAAATTAAGTTTTTCATTTTAATTTTTGTAGTAATTATAAATTGCATAATTTTATTGTATGTAAGATTTTTTTCACTATCTCTATTTATTTAAAAAATTTTATAAGCATCAAATAGGGTTTTCCACAAATATCATTTTGTACTATTAAACAAAATTTATTTTTTGAAAATGGCACCAACATTATTTGGGGAACATACCTTAATAAAGTATAGTTAATTTCACAGTTTTATTTCCTCATATTATCAAATTTTATTGTGGTGATGATTATTGTAGGATATAATCATTTATTGTTAAATTTTGTTTTAGGATACAGAATGAAATTTGTGAAAACCTTCTTATCATTTGAAGCTTTCTTTCAAATTTTAAAATGTACAATTATTAAAAACGTTTTAAATATTCAAAATATTCTAATCAGACTTTTTTCGTAAGTTTCCAAATACGNATTAACACCAATTTTTGATTTAATTAAATCCAAAGCAATAAATTTAACAAGTTCAGTATCAAATTTAATTTTATAACCAAAATTAATAAGGAAATTTTTAAGAACTTTATTTTTAAAACCAAAAATAAATTTACTAATAGTGAAAATATTATTCAAATTAACAGGTAGGTTACAAAAATTCTAAAATTCATCAAACCCAATAACTTTACCTTTACTTTTTCCACCTCCTCTTTTATTTCTATATTTTGAATCAAAAACACCAGGAAAATCAAACACTTTTAATTTATCATAAATCAATAATCTTCAGTATTAACATTACCTTCCCCATTAAATTTACTATTTAATCCATAAGGAAAAAGAGTTTTAAGACTACCAATGTAAATATTTTCTAAATCAAGTCTATTATCTAAATTATCCATCAAATCTTTAACGAATTTTCTTTTAAATGATATTTTTGTTATTAATTAAAAATTGGTCCAAAAATGTTGTTTAATGTTATTGTATATTTTTACATTTTTAAATTATAAACCGGAAACGTAAGACAAAAAAGAAAAAAAAAGTTTTTTGTACATTTATTGAATATAATTGTCAAAGTAATGCATACAAGTTACAAGCTTATCGCTATATTTTATGGAAGAGGGTGTTTGAAAACATTATTTTTTGTTCGTAATTTATTGCCAGTCATTGAAACCTCTGGAATTTTTAAACTTTATTGATAAGTAAAGGGAATTGTATGCCTTAAATATATCTAAAGTTATAAAATAATTCTCTAAGTACTTCTTCAGAAATTTGAAAAAAATATTAAACACTAAAAACTCTTTTATTATTGTAGGATAGTGTATATTGCTAATTAACTATTATTTTCATCTTTTTAAGTAATTTTATAATTTTTATTGATTTTCTGAGATCTTTTCTTTTTTACGAGGTGTTATTTTCTCATGTGTGTAAAAGATTCCTTTTCTCCCCATTTTCTGAAAGCACATGGTTGTGTCTCCTTTTCAGAAATTATATACATTAATTAATCATTCTATGTACAATAAATCATAAATTTCCGTTATTTTTTCCAGAAGAGAATTTTAGAAAAAATTTGCAAATTATTGAGAATGAAAATGTTCGTTATAAACAAGTATGTCAACTTTCTTTAAATTTATTATCTTAAGTGGTGTTAAAAATCTTTTTTATTTATTTATTTATTATTATTATTTTTATGGAGAACTTATTCATTATGGAGAGTTTATTAATGTCTATTAACTTTTTCTGTTCGACTTGTCATCTAATTGTTAAAAAGATGCTATACCCAAGGTGAAATGCTTTATATTGAATTCTAAATTTTGTTTTCTTATTTGAAACTTAAAGTATAAAATAAAACTGAGTTCAGGTTATTTAAGAATAAACCATGATGCTGATTTTTTTAGATATCAAAATGCAAGAGAGTAAGCAGATTTACTAGCTAAATCAGCTTTGTGTTTGCCACTGCACCACTCTCCTGTTCCCATAAGAAATTATAAAGCACTAATCAAGACAAGATTTGTAATCTCAAAAAAAACTTCCTTTCAGTAATATAAGCTTTAAAAAGTTAATAGTACTTTATACAAAGTAAAAACGGAATTCTCCCGGAATATACTCAAGTAAATAGGTGTTGCCTGTTTTCAAATGTTGACAGGTTATTATTAACTCCAGAAACATCTCAATACTATCGGTATAGTAGCCTCTGGCTCCCGCGCTTATGGCCTATGTGTGGGCAGTTCCATGCATGGACAACACCTCTTTTTCTGCATCTTATTGAAAGATATTGAAAATGGGGTTACTTCTCTTTCCGATTTTTTCACATCTTTATTGGCCAGCAAGAAGGTGTATGTCTGAGGTTGTAAGCAGGATTTAAAAATAATTAATACTTTTCAATTATTCTATTATTCAAGAATGGTAAGATGTGCTTAAATTATTTATATATTTGAAAATATTATTTTGGGTTTACTCTAGTTTGGTATTCATTAACATAAATACCTGTTTAACTCTAAAAAGACTTAGAAAACGAAATTGATTGAAATTTTAAGTTTTGAGTTTCAACGAAATACAGAAATCTTGGCTGATCAATGAAATTGATCAAAATTTCAAATTTTGAGTTTCAGCAAAATACAGAAATCTTGGTTAATCAATGACTTTATCTTTTACTATGGGAACATATTAATCAAAGATAGTAAAAAACATCATCATAGGTCTTCTTCTTAGAATTTAAAGTGCAGTTTTATAAGTTTCTTTTTTGATTTTACGGAAATAGCATTAGAATCCAGAATATCCAATTTTTTTGGGGATACAGTGGTGGAAAAAGTAATAAATTACAAAAATTTATTTCGTAGTTTGATTTCAAAACTAGAAAGAAATAAGGAATTGTTAATAAGAAACATCTGTTGAAAAAAGTTTGGGAATAAAATCTGTGTGTAGATTTAAGTTAGTGATTTTAAAATTGTATGCTTGTAAAATTCTGTTCTGAGAAATACAGATTGTGCAAGTATTTTCGTTTTCATATCAAAGACTATTCTTTTCAAAAGTTTTTTTTCCATGCAAAAATCTATTCCGAACAATGCAAAAAAAGAAAGTGCAAAGTCAATACTTTAAAAGTGCCATTATAGGAATTATTTTTATAATTTTCTTAAAAGTGTAGTGGGTAGCAATGAAAAATCTGTGCTTAAGCGATAATTGCTTGCGACACCTATTAATATTTTTACCAAATCAAATCTATTCAGCTGAGTAGACTTAATTAGTTAGCTTGCATAAAGTAATTTGAAATAACTGGTACGATATGATATTATTCTTGTAAACTTTCTTGACGTTTACTCTTGTAAACTTTCTATGGGTGAAAGCTTATTCAATTTTCAAGATATTTTGAGTTCTATGATTTGAGAATGAATGACTTGTAGATCTCGGGTAGTGTATTAATGTTACACTAAAGAAAAAGTATCTTGCATAATGCTTTAACTAATTAACGTGCAGTTTTTAGATTAAATTATTTTATTGAAAATAAGGACTGTCCTTACTTTATTTTAGTTTTTCACCATTATAGCATTATTAGTTTTATGGAGAGCTAAGAATTAGATTAATTGATTTTTAAAAAAAGTTATTCAAAAAATGAATTATTTATTTTTTTAATAGGAAAATACAGTTTTGCTACAAGATCTGAAAGGTCGTGAGTATCAAGTTCAAACTCTTGAGCAGAAACTATTTTTAGCTGAACAGACCATTGAAAATCTGAACAGACAAAATCTTGGCTTTCAGCAGCTAGCAGAAAAAGCTAAAACAGAAGTAATTTTTAAGATTTTTTTTTAATCCTATTCTCGATTTTAATATGTCAAATTACTTAAAAACTTTTTTTACAGTTGAATTTGGTTTTGACAATTTGCATAAAAATTCTCTTCTAGAATACTATTTTTTTGTTGAAAAATTTGGAAGAAAAAAAAAACAGTAGGTTAAGCAGGAAAGCAATCAGTTTGTAATTAGGTTCTAAGTTTGGTTAGTTAAGATTTTAGATTTCATCTATCCAGACATTTTGTGAAAGAATAAGCATTAAGTCACATTCTATCAACCAGGGTCCTGTTTTTGTGAATTTGTGCAAATAGGGTCCTATTATTTTAAAAACTTTTTGAAGGAGTTTTTAAATTGTCAAGACATACAAGATTATGCTCAACACTCTAAAATTATAATTTAAAAAAAATTAAATTTTCAAAAATAAACAGCAATTGCTGCTTCTAAATTAGAGATGCAACATNGGTGTTGCCTGTTTTCAAATGTTGACAGGTTATTATTAACTCCAGAAGCATCTCAATACTATCGGTATAGTAGCCTCTGTCTCCTGCGCTTATGGTCTATGTGTGGGCAGTTCCATGCATGGACATCACCTCTTTTTCTGTATCTTATTGAAAGATATTGAAAATGGGGTTGCTTCTCTTTCTGATTTTTTCGCTTCTTTATTGGCCAGCCAGAAAGTGCATGTCTGAGGTTGTAAGTAGGATTTAAAAAAAATTAATACTTTTCAATTATTCTATTATTCAAAAATAGTAAGATGTGCTTAAATTATTTATATATTTAAAATTGTTATGTTGAGCTACTCAAGTTTCGTACTCATAAGCATAAATACCTGTTTAACTCTAAGAAGACTTAGAGAACGAAATTGATCGAAATTTCAAATTTTGAGTTTCAGCGAAATACAAAAATCCTGGTTAATCAATGACTTTATCTTTTACTATTGGAAGATATTGATCAATAAGTAACAAAGATAGTAATAAACATCATCCTAGGTCTTCTAAGAATTTAAAGTGCAGTTTTATTTGATTAAGTTTCTTTTTTGATTTTACGGAAATAAGCATTAGAATCCAAAATATCCAATTTTTTTGGGGATACAGAGGTGGAAAAAGTAATAAATTACACAAATTTTATTTCGTAGTTTGATTTCAAAACAAGAAAGAAATAAGGAATTGTTAATAAGAAACTGTTGAAAAAGGTTCGGGAATAAAATCTGTGTGCAGATTTAAGTTAGTGGTTTTAAAATTTTATGCTTGTAAAATTCTGTTCTGAGAAATACAGATTGTGAAAGTATTTTCATTTTCATATCAAAGACTATTCTATTCGAAAGTTTTTTTTCCATGCAAAAATTTATTCTAAACAATGCAAAAAAAGAAAGTGCAAAGTCAGTACTTTAAAAGTGCCATTAAATGAATTATTTTTATAATTTTCTTAAAAATGTAGTGGGTAGCAATGAAAAATCTGTGCTTAAGCAATAATTACTTGCGACACCTATTAACATACCTGCCAACTTTTAATTCCTTCCATTATGATTTTTCCCAGTGGTAGTAAAACGGAATTGAAATTTCTGTTTTAAGCAAAGAAATACGTTGTATTAGAAAAATCTTAACTTAACAACCATGAATGTACACATATTAATATATATACTTAATTTTTTTAAGAATAGTGGTGAACAAAGTCATTTAAAAATTAAGTTCTAAAAGAAAAAGTAGTATATATTTACTACCACTTTAAATATAAAAATAAAATTTTACGCCAAATGCGTAAAAGTTGGCAGGTATGTATTAATATTTTTACCAAATCAAATCTATTCAGAGGAGTAGGCTTTATTAGTTGGCTTGTATAAAGTAATTTGAAATAACTGGTATGATATGATATTATTCTTGTAAACTTTCTTGACTTATGGGTGAAAACTTATTCAATTTTCAAGATATTTTGAGTTCTATGATTTGAGAATGACTGACTTGTAGATCTCGGGAAGTGTATTAATGTTACACTGAAGAAAAAGTCTCTTGTATGCTGCTTTAACTAATTAGCTTGCAGTTTTTACATTAAATTATTTTAGTGAAAAAAAGGACTATCCTAACTTTATTTTAGTTTTTCACCATTATAGCGTTATTAGTTTATGGAGAGCTGAGAATTGAATTAATTGATTTTTTTGAAAAAGTTATTCAAAATAATGAATTATTTATTTTTTTCTTATAGGAAAATGCAGTTTTACTACAAGATGTGAAAGGTCGTGAGTATCAAGTTCAAACTCTTGAGCAGAAACTATTTTTAGCTGAACAGACCATTGAAAATCTGAACAGACAAAATCTTGGCTTTCAGCAGCTAGCAGAAAAGGCTAAAATGGAAGTTAGTTTTTTTTTATCCTATTTTATATTTTAATTATGCCACATTACTTAAAAACTTTTTTTTACAGTTGGATTTGGTTTTGACAATTTACATAAAAATTCTCTTCTAGAATACTATTTTTTTGTTGAAAAATTTGGAAGAAAAAGAAAAACAGTAAGTTAAGCAGGAAAGCAATCAGTTTTTATTAGGTTGGTTAGTGAAGAGTTAAGATTTCATGTATGCATTAAAAACTGATCTATACTTCATTATAAAAGAAATTATTTTATTTGTTAAACTACTCACACATTTCGTGAATTGGTTTTACGTTGGTATCATAGTAGTACTTGTAGTAAAATTTGATAAGTTTCTTTCTACTGCAGTCTTAGATAGATCAAAACTTCTCAGTATCTTTTGAAAAATCAGATCATAGCTTTCAGAAAACAGGCTTATTAAAAATTAGCATTTGTAATATACAAAATAAGTTAAAAATATAGCTCCTTATTAAATAACAAATTTCCAAAATTTATTGAAGATTGAATAAAAATTAGTTAACTAATTTATTCATTTAAAGAGGGACTAGGATTATTTAAATATGAGAAAAAGAGTTTTATTAAAATAAAGAAATTCAAAAATTAGAAAACATTCAATGCCTATAATGATATGATAGGGGAGAGGGTTCCCTAAAGAATTTCTCTTCTTTTCTTAATATTTTCTCATTCTTATATGGCACTCCAATAGAGTTGCAATTTCTCACTACTCCTTAGTGAAAATAATCGGTAATATAGTTTATTATATTTTACATAAATCAACTTCAAATTTGTAAAAAACATATTAGAATCACAATTTACTACTATTTCTTCCTATTATTCTCTTTTACTTGATAAACTAATTTTGATTATAATCACATAATTAATCGTTTGATTTATCGTAATAAAGATAACTCAGATAATTAATTACCCGTTAAAACAGTTTCCTTTATTAAGAGTTTCTGTATGTCTTTTCACTATTTTTTAGTCTTGACTGAATATATTTGACAGCATACATTTTTTAACATTTTTATTTAAAAAAAATTAACTATAGCAAGCTATGTTTGATTCTGAATTCATCTGCAAATATTCTTTGAACCATATTTTGTCATTGATAATAAATAAAGCATAAAATTGCTTATAAATGCTGTATGGTCTGTCTTTATTTTTGTAACTGCTATATTATCTATTAATTATGGTTTTCGTTATGATTGGTTGAGTTTTTGATGAGTGAGAAAAAAGTAAAGTTATATGCTGTGCTTCAGAAAATTATCTCAATTGTATTCAAGTAATATGCTTAAAAATTTAGATTATATTTATTTATGTTATTAGTCAGTTGTATGTTGCTACACATTCTATTTTTCTTGTTACATGATATTTAATCATTAATTACTTAAAAATTAGATCTTTTAAATTAATTCATATGTATTCAATTTGTTATACTTAAAGATTAAGATTGCAATGTGAAACAATTTTTTCTCTCGTTTCAGCAGATTTTTCAACAGATCTTCAATTCTTTTGTGTTGTTGATTTTGAATCTGCATCTTTCCCCAAACTACAGTTTTTTTCTTTTAAAAAAATTGTATTTTTAGTCTATTTTTTGTCAAAATGTACAAGTTAAGAAACTTTATACATAACAAGGGTTCATGTAAAAATTGCCATAATCTTCTAGGGGTGTTAAGTAACATTATCAGAATTAAAATTGCATATGATATGCCCCTGTTATACATAATATTTTTAAACTTGTGCATTTGACAAAAATTAAACTGAAAATCTCATTATAAATATAAATCTGTAGCTCCTTTTAGATTTGAAATTCCCACACCCAAATTAGACAAGATCAAGTATTTGTATAAATACAACAAAAAATTTGTTCCCCAATGTTATTATTTGTTTATGTTAGTCATATTTATGTTGTTTTTCTTTGTATTTTTCTGATAAATTGATTTCTCATCTATTTGTTTTTAAATTAGCTGGATTACAAAACCAAACAACTTATTGATCAAAGCCATGAAATTGAAGAAGCAAAACGAAAAATGCATGAAAAATTTGTTCAAGAAAAGAATAAATTAAAGAAAACTATGGTAAAATTAGTATTATTTCTCTTTTACCATTTATGAATATCTCTGAAAAATATTGGAATTTTTAAAAATAATAATTATTTTTTTAATATGTGAAGTTATAAGAATTCTTCATAATTATTAAGTTGACTCATATTTTACAGTCCTAACAGATTTTCACTCTTAACATCTTGAAAATTATTCACTTCAGTTACTTTTTTACTTAAATCAATAAACAAAACTTTTTATAAATGCCTAAATTATGAATAGTAGTCTTTCTAAAATTTTTTCAGGAGAAACGATATGCTGCTGTTAAAACAGAATTGAAAAGGAAATTGTGTTTAACAGATGAAAAATTAAAACAATTGCAAGAATTTTTAAATGCCGATGACTTGGATACCAGTGGAAGTATAAATATGTTTTTTGTGCCAAGCACCACATCATTTGAAAGCTCTTTTTCAAGTGTAACTGAAAGTAAAAGAAAAGACTCTCTCTATGGGAATTCTATCACTTACACAAAATTTATGAAATTACAATCTGTATCAGGTGAGAATTTTAATAAACAATAACATTAGAAGTCCTGTGTCATGCATGTCCTGATTGGATAATTTTTGTATTTAATTATAAGTACATAGCTGCCAACTTTTCTGCACTGAAATTCAAATCTTCTGCGTTTTAAAATTGCACTTCAAAATTTAGAACCTTTTTAAAACTACTTATGTACACATATTCAAAAGTAAAGATAGGCTCTCCTGCCTTGCTCAGACAATTGCATCTTGAATTTTCACTGCGCTTTAGCGTGATCAATTTTGTTGATCACTAATTAATGCAAAATATGAGATTTTAAGCCTATGATAGTACAAAAAAGGATTATAGTTTTCTTTTAGTTTCTTATAGTTTATTTGAACTGATTGTGTTAAAACACTAAATTTCTCTCATGAACACTATATTCCAATAATTGATAATATAGTTGGTTTTTTGAACAAGGAATAAAAATTGAAAATGTGTAGGATCTTCTACATTCTTAGAAATTTCTTCTGTAATTTTCTTATTATGTTTCTGCGTTTTAAAAAATAGAGGTTGGCAGGTATGTAAGTAGTTGTACTGTTTTAGAGATCTTCTGTAAGATTTTATTTTCATATTTAGATTGATAGAAAAGTTTTTGTTTTTATACTTAATTTTAGATTTTTAAAATTATTTTGACCTCCACTACATGTAAATAAATTAAACATGTGCAAAAAGATATGGTATTTGTACAAAGGCGTGTTTAAGTTGTACCAAAGTCAAAAATATATTTGCCTGCAAATTTAATTTATATGACTTTGTACTAGCATGTAGAAACATTCTCCTGCGAAAGAATAAAATTTGGCGGAAATGTAATAGGAATTTGCAAAAATAAATAAATAAAAAAATAAATAAATGAAAATAGGGGACAAGGTTTGGATTGTTACATCCAAATCTATTAATGTGTTTTACTTTATTCAAAATTTTTTTTTTTCCTACTTAGTTAACTATGTTTTTAGATAAATGATTGAAACTATAAACTTGTCATTCATTGCTTTGGTAGTGATGTATTTTTAAAAACTAATACTTTATTACTTATTATTTGATAAACTTATTATTATTGATACTTATTATTAAAACTTATTATTTGATAACTAGCAGAAGCTCATTAATCATACTTTAATGCTTAAAAAGAGGACTTACTGAATTCTGTCCTTTTGTAATTTGTTCTATGAGTACTCACATTTATTCATGCCTCATAAATAGCAGTGTTTGTATATAATGTAATAACATTGTTTGTAATCATATCTAATAAAGAAAAACATTTTGCAAAACCATTTATCAAAACAAAGATCATAAATCGTCAAAACATTGGAAGGCTTAATAAAATCGAAGAAAAGTGATTTGTCTTTGCATATAATTTTGTAATAACTATTCACCTAAAACATTTTATTAATACATTTATAAAAACATGACCTAAAAACTATTTATCTAGATATATAAAGTCTAAAATCTTGGTTAAAATCAGTTAATTGATTCAATGAATTATGCTTTTTAGAACTCAACTTATTTAATTAACCATTTTTAGGAACATCTAAAATGTGTTTATATCTTATGTTTTCAATCTGACTAGTTTTCAACTAGAGAGGTTCTGGAATGCTGTCCTACCTATATATAGTATATATATAGTCAGTATAGTATATATATGTATAGTATATATATATATATATAGTCTATATATATAGTCAGGCTTTAACCTGTCAAAAACAGTAGATATGACTCTTTTGATCACACTTTAAATAATATTTTACTCTTTATAATAAAAATATTTGTGAAATTTCTATAGAATTCCCTCAAGAAGGAAAAAAGAACAAAATGAAATTTAACAATGATTGTTATTCTGGTTCAGGGATTGATGCTTCTAAGTCTTCTGGCATGGTTAGTTTATTTGTTTGCATCAATGTAAAATATAGCAATAATTAGATATAATTCATTTTAGAAAATGTAATTTTTTAAGTATATTTATCATAATCAGGGGCCTTTAAATTATAAATATTATTTTGAAATTAAAATATTTGTAAAACAAAATTGCGTCAAATATTTTTTTAAAATTATGCTGTAAGGATGTAGCAAATTTTTTTGGACAGGGTTCGGGGAAAGTGAAAAAACAACTCTAAAACTAAAAAAAACTCAAGTTTAAAAAAAAAAATCACTTTTTATTTCCTTCCGTATTTTAATTATATACAATTTTTCAAGTATTACATTAAAAATATTAACTTAATTGTCTTATTTAACATACTAGTGATTATTGAAATATTAATGCCAGTTTAGTAAGTTAAGACCTCTAGTAGGGTTTGATGTTTAAAAAAAAAACATTGTTGAATAGAAACTGATTTTGACAAAATTGGCATTGTCGATAGTTAACAGAGTGTAAACAACAAGCTTCCTAAAACCAAAACAAGTCTTAAAATAAAGCTTCTGTTATATCCCCCTGCCAATGTTATTTTTACAAGACAGGAGTAAACAGAAGCAATATTCTAGAATATTTTATTAGCAATTCATAGATTTTTTTCAAATTACATATACCTAATGTTATGCCAAACACAAAATCAAGATATGTTAAAGGATGAATGAATGTAATAATTGGCAAAAGAATATTTATTAAAAATCTTTTTTATTCCTCTTCAACTCAAGTTTTCTACTCAAGCAGAATTCTTTGACAAATTATTAAACTTAGATTCTGAAAGTGTGTCTTGTATCTCAGGAAAAGAACAACAATCTGTTCTGAGATTGGAGAAGTTTTCTTCTAATTGTCCACAGAGTGAGAGAGAAAGTTTAACTTCTGTGTGTGGATCAAGATTACAGGATTCCATTCTTGCCAAACAGCAAAATTCCTCTGTGTTTTCAGTTAAAAAGAAAACTTCTAGAACATTGTTTCTTCAAATAAAACAGAGATAAAGTTAAAGAAGTATCAAACCTTCCATTTGTATATCAAATGAGAAGTGGACAATCTAAACAATCTAAACTTAACAAGAATTTCAATAAGCTTTTATATTTTTCATAAAAAAAAACAAATGAAAAGAAAGTTTTGCCTGTCGGGTTTCAGTTTAATTGAAACATTTGCACTATACCTTTATTTCAAAGCATTTTTTTACATCAAATTGTTTCAATATGAAATTATTTTGATTTTCTCAATATCATTCTAATTGTTGAAAAACTTTTCTTCAGTGGTAGAACTCGGCAATGGACTAAGAAAAATACACCTCTTTAAAATTTTAATTATAGCATAAATTCTAGATTTTGGCATAAAAATTAATTGGAAAAAGTAACCCTGAAACCTCTTAATTTTTTTAAATTCTTACAGCACATGCATTTAGCCTTATCCGTTGTTTAAAGGAAAACCCTGTTATCCTTATTATTTTTATAATAAATATTTGAATGGGTATTTTATAATATTCTCAAAATCACTTTATTTCATACTTGTTTTTTAAAATTTTCTTTCCTTTAGGAATGAACTTTGTAATAATTTCCTTATTTTTCAAAAAATGCCTTACATTATTATTGTTAACAGTTTTTTTTTTAAAATTTTTAACTTATGAAAAAATGATCACGTTTTAAAAAGTAACTCCTGTTAAAAATGTTGTAACTGACTTGTAGTAAATTTTTTAATTTTGCACTATATTAACCATCCATAGAGAAATAATAGTTTTTAAATACTTTGCTCATTTTTCTAAATCTATTAAGTGATTACTAAGCTCTTTTTAATAGCAGTATTATAAATAATAATACTTTTTCATTCCTCTTTATTTCAAGTGTTCTACTCAAGCAGAATTCTTTGACAAATCATTAAACTTATGTTCAGAAAGTGCATCTTGTATCTCAAGAAAGGAACAACAATCTGTTCCGAGATTAGAGGAGAAGTTACCTTCCATTTGCCCAGAGAGTGAGAGAAAAAGTGAAACTTCTGTGTGTGGATCAAAATTAAACGATGCTCTTCCTGCCAAGCAGCAAAACATCTCTGTGTTTTCAGTTAAAAAAGAAACCTTCTCTAACCCTGCTTCTTCAAATAAAACTGAAGTGAAAGAAATATCTAACCTTCCATTTGTATATCGAATGAAAAGTGAACAACCTAAGCAATCTAAACTTAACAAGGTTGTCATAAAACCACTCAGATTTTGTACAAAAGTAATGATTTTGTTTTTATTATTTTTGCAAGAATTTCAATAAACTTTTAAAAGATTTTTCTTAAATAAAAAAAGGTTTTGCTTGTCAGGTTTTCAGTTCAATTGAAACATTAACACTATAAGTTTATTTCTATGTATTATTTGTTCTTACTCTTAATAGGTTCCTTGTAAATTTTAATTCTCAATTCAATTGAGAGGTGCTTGAAAATTTTCTCATAAAATTCTAAAGCCTAGCAGAAGAAAAAAAAAATCAAAATATACAATTTTTAATATGACGGCTGGAATTCAAAAGAAAAGCTACTGGAGTATATTTTCTAGTTATTATTGAAACCAAATTTAATCAGAAATGTTTTTAGTTATCTTTGTTGTTATTAAGTTATATAATTTTTTTGAAACTCAGAAGAGCTGAATTTTATTATTTTCTTTTAATTATTTTTGTCTTTAAGTTACTTGCGCTTTCTGTAAATTTGTGTTACTAAAACATGCTGCTGAAATACTAAGTAATTTCGAACAAATGCCCGCTCATGGGAAATTTTGTATTTACCAATATCATAGTGAATCATATTGGGTGCATTGATTGTATTATAATATTTACAGAGATTTTTTTGCAGCAATTTATGAAACTCTGATTAATGCACTATATAAATGTATGGGTCTTATTATTTATTTCAAGACCAAGGTGTCAGTGTTGTAAACAATTGTTATCACCAGTTTTGTTGATTCCAACATATTGATAATGTGACTGGCTAATATTTAACAGGTTCACAAATGCAGCAGAAATTGTTAGACTAAGATTTGCATTCGGATCTTTATTAAAGCATAAGCAAATTTAAGTTAAATAATTAATCAACAACCTGGGATTTAATCATGATATATGTATATATATGTAATATTATAATGATATTATTATATAAATAATGACTAGATACAATTTTCAAACTCTAGAATTTTAAATTTCATTTTATTCCCTCTGTGAAAAAATTAATCTGTATTTTTTTTCCTTTGTGCAATGCAAAATTTTCCTTCTTGCATGCAACAAAACTTAACTAATCTAATTAGATGTAGACAATTAAAATTTCTCATTTTACTTAAAATTTTTGTGTATCAATAATAATGAATGTAATTTTACGATAATTAATGTCTTTGCAAAAAAATGTAAGTGAGCAATTACGGCAATGCTTAGCTTTTACTTTACTCTAAAAGTGTGTTCTATGCAATATATTGCAAGAGAGCAGCCGTGGCTCAGGCGATAGAACGTTTGCCTTCTAATGAGATAAACCAGATTTGAATCATAGCAGTTACTGTTTGATATGAATTCTGCGCATGGTTCACACCGGCCACAGTGCTGACATAAAAATATCCTCAGTGGTAGATAAATCAGGGGTTAGAATCCCCTTGCCATCAAGATAACTGTAAAAGATTTCCGTAATTTCTTTCTCCATGTAACGCAAATATGAGTAAGTTCCATCAAAAATTCCTCCACAAAAGCTAGTTTGTCCCAATACTTGATCCAAGAGTTTTCTTGTTTTCTTAGTTGGGTTCAAAATTACAATGCTCCGAAGTTGAACATTGATAATCAACCTCAGAATTGGATTTGCTGATCAATGCCAATAGTAAAATAAAATAAAATTTAAGGCAAGAGGGAGGAAAAATATGTTATAAAAATATGTATGATTCGAAAAAATGTCTTAATGTTTTGCCTCTCGACATTGGGTTATCTGTTCATTACATGTAACTTTTTATTTATTTATGTTTTCCCTTTTGAAAAACCATGCCTCACAGTTAAGAATTTCCTGATAAAAGTAAAACAATTGGCCAGAAAGCAAATAAATGTGCACAAATTCAAGAAAGTTCTGGAGTGTCAAATATTTTTTTCTCTTTCATAATTTTATTTCATATTCTCTAGTAATCTCTGATTTCTGTATTTTCTCGTCTTCATTTCATGCTTTCATACTTTCATCATATACTTTTAGAAAATTTCTTTAGCGCTAACAATCACTTTTGCTGTACGAAATATAAAATCTGTGGGAAGAAATTCAAATATCTGTAGGTAAAATTATATTTTATATGCAATATAAAACTCTTACAATATTGTTTACTTTAACATCAGTTATACCCATTAAGTGGAAAGGAAACTTTGAACAGATAATTTGCTAATTAGCGCATTTTCACTATTGCAGATTTTCATTGATTAAAACTCAACTTATTATTTCTCACAGCATTAGTCTTGCTACCCATAAACTTAAATGAAATCGCTTCCTTGGAAAAAGAGAACATTTTTAGTTCATTTTCCAAAAAAGCGTGCTTTGCTGAATGAGTTAAGGATGGACGTATAAATTTTATTTTGTTTTATTTTTCTGTGATGTTTTCAGGCCTATAACTATGTAGTTTGAAAATATAACTGAATTTAATTTTCAATTTTGGAATTATGTCTAAGATTTTTTTTTTATTCTTTAATTTTAGGGGGGAGTAATTGAAAATATCAAAGACAAAAGAAATGAATTCAATGGTCAAGAATTGTGGATTGAACATAAACCTCTTGGAAACCTTCAAATAAGTAAAATTGCATTTACTTTATTCTTGTTGTTTAGTTAAGATACATTATAAAATTATCGTTTGCTAATATACTCAGAATGCACAAATTATTTTACTTTATTCAGAGCTACTATTAAGAACTAATACAAAACTGAGAGCAGATTTAAACATGCAAAAAAAGAAAACTTATAAATTGCACTTATACGTTCAAAATTATGATACGGTTTAAAAAAAACATCACTAATGAAATTCACTTTTATACTGAATAATTTTTTTATATGTAAAAAAACTGATTTTTTAAACATTCAATTAATATCTTCAAAAAATTCCAAGGTTAAATTTAAACAATACAAACTTATTCTTTATAACTGTGCATATTTGAAAAGCAAACATCTTAATAAATTTTTATCTATGATCAGAATTTTATGTACTAAGACTTAATCTTAATGACTCAAGGACCTAACCTTAATTATGCTTATTAATTAGTGCTGACATTGTTTAACAAATTGATATTTGACAATATTAACGAATTTTTACGACAGATTTGAATTTTTGACCCTTAAAACATGTGGATGGATAACTGCAAACTGGAAATTGTGGTCCCATAGTTTAGGCAGGACTGCGGTCAAGAGTTTGAGCCCCTTAACCCCTTGATGCGGAGTTTTTATTAAATATATTTTTCATACTATTTTTATTATTTTGTATTAATTTAGGTCAAAATAAGTGAAAATTATTACATTTAGAATTTTAATAATTTATGATTATAAAATACAGCATAAAACACCTGTGTTGTTTTTTTTCAGCTTTAAAAGTATCACTACCAAACAATATATTTTTTAAACTTTGACTTATCTCTTGTTATTTAGATCTGAGTGAAATAGTTATTCATCATTGAAATTTCTGAAATTTACAAAATCAATTATTGATAATTTTTTTAATATGAATGAAAAGAAAAATATTGAACTTTTTGTGGGTTTTATATTTTGGTACAAAAATAATTCCGATAATCTTAACCATTAATTTTTTTAGTAACTATTAGACTGTTCTTTATGATTAAAAAATATCGAAATATGTTTTTGCTTATTAAACAGTCAGAAAAATATGTAAAAGGGACACCAGTGTCCTATCTGCATCAAAAGGCTTATGTTAATTTCCCATTTGAGGTATCCTCATCTCCAAAACTAATGGAGCGAATCAAAAACTTTCGTCTTCATTATAATTTTCATGCCTTGCTAACAGTTTTTCTCATTGTGTTTAGATGCAGCCCTGGAGCCAAAAATAGAGAAAAAGATGTCTGTTTGGAGATTAAAATTCAAAGATTTGATTAAAGGTACTGCCTCTAAATATATTCTTCAACATCAAGAGCTAGATTCAAATGGAGAAATTGAGACACAAATATACAAAGTAATTTTCGTTTTCTTTGAAAATTTTGGAATTCACTTTCTAATTTATGTCTGAAATTACATTATCTGTTTTCTATTTATAAAACTAAACTATCTTTCAAAATATTTTATTAGTTGTTTTAATTGAAAGAGTCTTTGTTTCTGTTTTACTTTAAAAAATATGTATAAATTTTTTTTTCTTTAGTAAAGATTGTGCATTCCAAGTTTATTTCGATATTTTTTCATATCTTGAAGTTATACAAGCAAAATTGTTTGGGGTTACTTTTTATTAAAAATTCTTAATGAATGTTTTCGAAATGATATAATAAAAATACAAGTCTTGCAGCTTCACTGAATAGGGGAAAAAATTAATAAAAACAGTAAATTCCTATTTGTGTTTCGATTATACCATTGTAGCAATTTGATAGATATTAGTCTCAAACATGATTATAGCAATTTATTTGAGAAAATAAGGAAAACTACATAATTTCCAGGACCGGGATGGCCTGGTTGGTAGGGCGCTGGGCCCATGTCCAAGAGTTCGTGGGTTCAAACCCCGCCAGGTGATGACTCCCCGTGTAGTTGGTGACTGAGGCACATTAAAATTCTGTCGAGTCGCAAAGTCCTCCATGTTCCCATAACAAATCAATTCCTCTGGGGGTATTGGAGATAGATCATTCTCTGATTCAGGTCAAAATTACAATCTGTGGATGAATGAATGGATGTATGAATGGGTCCGCCTTATAAACAGGTGTGATGTATGATGTGGCAGAAGTCGAATTCTTGGCCATAGATGGCGCCACTGAAAAACAAGAATCTCTCACTCTGCCTTAAATTTGCTCGGTTTCAACTAGCAGGCTCATTATTAGCTTAAATCAGTTACACATAGCTTTAGAATAACTCACTGCTAAAATATTTTTTAAAATTCTATCTATATTTCAATAATTACATACAATTTTGTAAAAACATTAAATACTTAAAGAAGTATTAATACTTGTTAAAAATTTTAAAAGTCAATATTTCAGCTTTTTCTGAAATATTGATTCCTTTAAATTTACTGATATGTAATATACATATGTTACTGTAAATGACCGAAATTGGTGGTTGTTGACTTCCACCGGTGAATGTTGACGATCACAGAGTTCCTGTGGTAAATGTCCGAAATATAGTAGGTCTAAGGGCCACACTACCTGGTATGCATTTAATCAATATTCTGAACACTGATGNTTTTTTTTTTAGTTGGGTTTAACAATAAAAAAACGGCTTTTTGTAGCGATTCAGAAAACCGGAAAAATCAGTTATCCGGAATAGCGATGGTCCTGATCATTCCGGATAATCGGTTCCCTACTGTAATAAAAAAATACAAGTCTTGCAGCTTCACTGAATGGGGGAAAAATTAATAAAAACAAATTCCTATTTGTGTTTCAATTATACCATTGTAGCAATTTGATCGATATCAGTCTCAAACAAATTGCTACGATGATTATAGCAATTTATTTCAGCAAAAATTCTGCCTGAAGATAAAACAACTTGAACTTCATTATTAGCTTTAATCATTTGCACATAGCTTTAGAATAACTCACTGGTAAAATATTTTTTAAAATTCTCTTTATATTTCAATAATTACATCCAATTTTGTAAAAACATTAAATACTTAAAGAGAATTTGTTAAAAGTTTTAAAAGTCATTTTTTCAGCTTTTTCTGAAATATTGATTCCTTTAAATTTACTGATATGTAATAAATATATGTTACTGTAAATGACCGAAATTGGTGGTTGTTGACTTCCACCTGTGAATGTTGACAATCACATAGTCCCTGTGGTAAATGTAATCAATACTCTGAACACTAATGTTTCTCCTAATCTATCCACAGCAGATATTAAAATATCGAATAAATATACTAATATCAACGAATAAATTAATATCAATTCGGATATAACAAATATTTCGGACATTCACAAATATTCAAACTAATGTAATTCTTGACATTCAACGGTGAAAGTCGACATAGTCCTGATTTCGGTCATTCACGGTAACATACATACATATATATATATATAATTTTTTAATTTAAGTACATATTTTGTTGTTAAAATTTACAGTGTTTTTTTGATGTAAATTTCATTTGTTGTTTTATGAAAATTTCTTATATTAGGGTGACATCATTAAATCTCTCAGTGGAGGAGCTCAAGTGATTTTCACAGATGTTGAGAAAGTTTGTCTTGTATCATCATTTAATGACAGTTATTTAAAGTTAGTTTATTTTTAAATTTTGTTTTCATTATAAATGATTATTGGAGCGATGAAATAAGTTTTAAGGTCTCCTTTGGGTACTTTTTAAGTTGATGCTGAAGTTAGTTTTAATACTTATTAAATCACTTTTATTAAAGTGACTTGTATGAAATAAAACATAAAATGAATTTTCAATTGTATCTTTATTTTGTTGTTTTAAAAATTTAATTTCTTCAAAGCTAACTATAATTATCAATAATATTTATAAAGACATTGTAAGCAATGTTTTGGGCTAAGTATCTAAAACATGGTAACAGTTTATTTACAAATATACAATAAAGTGTATATTTGCCAGGAATTAATAGTTTTTTTAAAAAAATGATTTATTCATATTCGTTTAACAAGTAAACTGCAAGAAAAATAAATATTTGTAGTAGAAATATATAGGAAATATGTTAAAGTTGTCACTAAGTTTCAAAGATAAATTTCAATACCTCAATTCATTCTTTAACTTTTAATTTCTTTATTTCCCTTTTTTTTGTACCTTAAAAAATAATGTTATAATTTTTATTGTAACAACATTGAATCCAGGTTACATTATTTTTAAAATTTTTAAGCTTATAAAAATTATGTGTATTAAAAAGTATGATCTGCATATTAAAAATTGCACTACAATTAATAGTTATGACTTATAAATTAGATATTTGAATAAGATCTTACCTGAAAATTGAAAAGTGTATATTTGTGAAAACTATCATATGTTAAATAGTTTGTGCAGATAATATTTTAAGTTAAGAAATCAGATACAAGAACATGCTTTCTCTAAATGATCATTAGAAAAACCATTTTTATAACAGATTCAATTGTTCTTAATCCTCAAAATATGGAGTATGGGGAGTAGTTGTAATCCAGGAAATATGTAAATTAGTTTAATCTGGATAGCAGTCAAAAGCTCCTCAAAATGTCCTTGATAATAATTTCACTTTTTACCTATGTCTTTTTACCTCTGAAGCTGTTTGAGTGAACTAAGACATTTTTGCTGATGAATATGAGATTGTTTATACAAAGATAATTTCAAAAGAAATATTTTTTTAAAAATTATTGATTCTTATAGTTTAATTTGATGATTGTCAAATTTTTTTTAATTAATAAGTATATGTTTACTTCATTCTAAACTGTTTAATTTTAAATGAGAAAAAAAAGAACAATTTTGAGCAAAATTGGCTAGATTGTTTCTGAGTAATAAAATATCAAAAATGTCAAATTTTACAATTTGAAATTAATTAATCGTATAATAGTTAAAGTTAAAATTTTCATAATTTACAAATAAAAAAAAATTCTTTAATGAATTTAGTTATAAAAAATCAATAAGTAACTCTTAAAAATTATTTTTTACCTGGCAATATCTACAGCAAAATGAGCTGTATGTATGGAGATATGAAAGTTAAAAATTTTTTTAATCACTTTGATTTTTGACATAGTGAGGCATGCAAAAAAAAAAAAAAAAAACTAATGCTAAGGTGTTCAAGCTTTCAACTACTGTCTTGACTATATCATTGTGACCATATTTTCTAGAGCGAGGTTCCCCACACACCCATATTTTGATAATTTTGTTATTTTATAACTGTTGTTGAACCCAATTTTTTAGGTTTTAGACTTCGAATGTTCAACTCCGTATCTTTGAACCCAATCCAGAAGACAAGAGAACACCTGTATCAAGTATTGGGAGAAATTTGCCTTCGTGGATGACTTTTTTTGATGGAACTAACCTGCATTTGCATTACATGGGGAGGAAAACAACGAAAACCTCCCACGGTTAGCCTGACGGCAAGGGGACTCTAACCCATAATCCATCTACCATTAAGGTATTTTACGTCTACACTGTGGTCGGTGCAAGCCAAGTGTGTGATTCGAATCAACCAGCCATTGCCGGGATTCGAACCCAGTTCCACCTCTTTGGGAGGCGAGCGCTCTATCCCCTGAGCTTATATTTTGACGATTGACAAAACCTATAAAATAAAAAAAAATTCATGTTCATTCAGAAAAATTTTATTTTTGTGCTTGTTTTATAATATATAATATGATCCCGCACAATTTATTTATTCATGCTAAGTTACTGTCTTGTTCCATTGTATTTTTAAATATTAAAATTGGATCTTAATATTTAAAAATCCGATCATTAGATCAAAAGTTATTTTCTTGTTTTGTGCAATGCTTGAAGGCTAAATAGTGTTTGATTCTGTAACTTCCAGCCTTAATATCAGCTTGAAATTTTTTAAAATAATAATAGTTATTTATGCAAAAAATATTAATTGTTTATACAAAAATAATAATTTTAGAAAAAGAAGCGGAGAAAGTATTCCTCTAAATGAAATTGAAGAAAGAGTAAGTCTGATTTACTATTATTATTTTTTAATATATAAGTTAAGACATAGTAAAATAACCTTTAAAAAGATAAAGCTACAGTTTTGATCTTGTTCTAATGCATGAAAGTAACTCCAACACTTTATATTATCTAGATGTACGGTTAGTGCTTTTTACTCATTAACTGTATGAGATCTGAGTAAAAAAATTGGTTACAAATTTGAAAAGCATCAATTTAATTTAATAATAAATGTTACCTATCGTTGGTGTTAGAGCACCTAATGCATGCTTTAATTTATTATTTTTTTAAATCTGCATCATTTCTTGAACAATATATATATATATANATACATATACACACACACACACATATATATATATATATACACACACATATATATATATATTAATTAAAAGATTGGTGTGAATGCAATTCTAATTATTATAATTCTCCATAAATTGATTTAACTTTAAAGGCGTAAACAAACTGTGAAAATTATATTGAAGGCAATGTGTAATTGAGAAAAAACAATGAACTGTTCACAGTTAATAGTTTTTCAAACACATTGTAACAAAACAGACAATAGTTTATGTAGCACATTATAAACAAAATTATTATATAAAGCAAAATGTAAGGATTTTGAAGATTTCTTTGATGATAAGGAAAATAAAAGTAACGAGTAGACGATTGAAACTTTCCATGAAAGCAAGAAAGTAGGAAATGAAGGATGTCAGATCAAGGGAACAAAGCTGCACAAGTGAACTGGGAGGAGGATTTTTAATATGCACTGACATTGAATATTTTGCAGATGTTTGATTATTAGAGTGGTCGACAGGGAATATCAAATTAATATTTGTTATATTTAAACAAATGTTGTATTTTAAATCTCCTTGATAGGTAAATTCTATCTTGTTTAAATAAAATTACGTTTGGTGTCACATTTTAGTAAATCTATGTGCTTTTACATTAAGTTACTATCTTGTTTAATGAAGTAACTTTTCCAATTGAGCATCAATGCCAGTTTTTTCGGAACATTTAGCTGCAACTTTTCTGCATCTAATTTGAAAGTAGTGCATAGCAGGGAAATTTTCTTGTGCAATTTTACCCACTGGTTTATGCTGAGAGAGTTAACTGTAAGGTGCAGTTTTGACTATATTAATACTAATCTAGATTTAGATTGCCATGTTTAGTAGGTAAGTTTCATAAAATAGGAAATAATCTATGTAGCACAAAATTCTTTATAAATGCAAATGTTGAAATGTTAGACTTTGCTTCATGTTTTTTTTATATAAATTATGTTATGTTCATTCATAAATGTTTGTGTTATAAGCATCTATGATGTGCCTAGCTTAAAATTTGTAGTTTTTGAAAAGTGTTATTTAAAATTATTTACTCTCACTTAGCTTCTTAATATTATACTTAAATATATACATATTTTATGCAAAATAAAGCATATTTCTTTGTCTGATTGGAGGAATGTAGTTTTAAATACACAAAACCAAATAAGCTGTACAATACCATACTAAATAAATCAGCATTATGTGTTCAATGTACGCTAATTCAACTAAAATTAACAAATAAAAAAGAAAGATTTCTGTGCTATCTTGGCATCATGGAGTCTATTTTGTTCTGAAGAAAATAAATCTGTGAAAAAGATTCCTTTGGATGTAAAGAAACAATAAAATGATGTATAGATATAAAAACACAACACTATTTATTGATGATTTGACAATATTTTTACGACAATTATGTCAATGCATGGTAATTTTGCTGCATTTAAAATAATTAAACTATTTCATAGAACTAAAAGGAAAAAAAATTGATTTGAATGACTTAATTATCAGTAATTATACAATTTCGAGTTTTATCATTACATTTTAATAATTAGTTTTTCATGTTAATTTTTATAAATATGCATTTTTATACTATTATATACCCTTTTCAGTGTAAGATATCATTGGAGTGTCACGGATATAAAACGAAAAGAACATGTAAGTCTTCAAAACAATATTTTTGTAATTATGTAATTTAATACTCTAATAAATACATGATTCAGATAAGAATTAAAAGCATGGTTCTAAAACCTTTGGTACTGCTACTATTCTAAATTTTAATTGGGGGTTCTTTGACTATTGCTTAATTAATAAAATTCTTATTAATATATTAAATGAACCAAACTGTTGCTGTAAATAAACCAATCAGTTTGCTGTTTAAATATGTCTGTTGATCCAGTTCTAGCTGAATTGGGAAAGGTTAGGTGATGCTTTAGAAGCATTGCTTTGAAGACAAAAGTACCAATAAACTACTAGCAGCATTCACAACTGCCACTGCAAACTACTGTGTCACATTCATGGTAAAAGTTGAATACACATATAGACGGTGATAAATCTGCTAGAAAGAAAGTTGTTCATAGGTCGGTACTTTATTTACATCACACTAGAACTGCACAATGGGCTATTGGCAGTATTCAGGGAAACCTACCCTAGGATGTTACTAAGACATGCCATCACAGTTCTGATCCTCTGCAGAAGTGGTCGCTCCCCCACTCTGGTAGCCATCTGGTGATCTAAGTGCAAAGTCAAGCACTTTAAGGCAGAACACTGTAATGAAGACTGATACCTTAGACCCTCAGTCCCTACGCAGGTGGATTAAAGTAATCATCTACTCGCTCACTAACTGTAGCGAGTGAAGCTTGACCACAGTATTCTACTAGGAACTGTGTCTTTACCATCACTTTTTTGTGAGAGGCTATGGCATCGTTGCTCCATTTGCTTTTTACTCATATAGCTTTTAGCTTCTTTTATATCCAACAACTTCTATTGGCATTAAGGAATATCCCCATCCTTTGAAACTGGTAACATGAATTATTAGGATATACATTGGGAACAGTGAAAGGTATACAATTTTAAATTATTGCTATGACAACTTATAGCATTGAATGAATTTCCTTTTATGTACTGTCTTTATGACTGCTACGTCTAAGGAGCATGTAAAAGATTTTATTTTTACCTATAATAACATCAAACTCATATAACATCAAACTCATATCAAGATTTTATTTTTACCTATATAACATCAAACTCATATTATACTTAAAATTTCATGATTAACGTAAATAATTTTAACGTCAAACTAAATATTGAGCACTTAGAGCTTCTTTTATATAAGGGTAATGGTAGTTCAAGCTATAGAAGTTTTTTTTCTCTTATTTTTACTTTTTGATCTGCATTTTTCATACATTAAAAATGTTTTATGTATATATATAAAGTTAATTTAATGAAATTTGCAAAAAAAAACAAAAAAAAAAGCTTTGCAGCTTTGGAAAAGAGAAAAAAAAGTATCTACTTTTTTCTTAAGAACTCACCGTGTTTTGCAGCTCCACGTTGATTTATTTTTCATCCACAGTTACACACTAACACTTTAGTTTATTACGCATTTGATATGTTTACTCTGTATCAAATTTATTCCAGAAAGAAGAAGACTAGATGACTTTGAGAGGAAGAGATTCGATATTTTTCTAGTTTAAAATTCTTGTAATTGTAAATTCAATCAAAAATTTTTTTTTTTTAAATTTGTGTGTAAATTATACTGGAAATTTTTGAAATGCTTCTCTTTATCGCTATTAATTAAGACTATTTTGAAATGTTTTATTTTGCATGTACTACTAAATTATATTGAATAAATTTGATTAATTCAAATATCTTTTTTGTCTTTCATTCAAGTGATTGTCTTTTATTAGTTAATATAAATCTTTTATTATTCTAATTACATTATTTACAGTTTAAAATGCTTACATTTCTAATGGAAAACATTTAGTCTAAGATCAAACTATATTTTACATTGAAAGGAATACCAATTAAAATTTAATTTAACTTGAACATAGCAATAGCTTATAGATGTATTAGATATTGCATATAGTTAGTTATAGATTATTATATTCTTGAATTATAGATGTATTGTATGTATATGTTATAGATGTATTGTATTCTTGAATTAATTATAATCACCATTACAATTGTAACCAAACTTATGATAATGAGTAATCAATTGCATTTTTCCCATTGCTTAATTAAAATTTCAGTACTATGAAATACTGCTTCATATTCTTTGACTGAATTGAACACACAGCTTTGACACATATTGAAGAAAATTAATTAATTATAATCACCATTACAATTGTAACCAAACTTTTGATAATGAGTAATAAATTGCATTTCCCCCATTGCTTAATTAAAATTTCAGTACTATGAAATACTGTTTCATATTCTTTGACTGAACTGAACACACAACTTTGACACATATTGAAGAAAATCAATTAATTATAATCACCATTACAATTGTAACTTAACATATGATAATGAGTAATAAATTGAATTTCCCCCATTGCTTAATTAAAATTTCAGTACTATGAAATACTGCTTCATATTCTTTGACTGAATTGAACACATAACTTTGACACACATTGAAGGAAATGAAATGTGTGTCTGAAATATTGATTTCCAGAATTATTATGTATTAAAAATATATTGATGATGAAAAATATATTATAATCTATAATAAACAAAATTTTTTATTTTATTTAGAGCATAGTTTAAAAACTTTAACAAAATTTCACAAATGTTTAAAAATTTGTTATGTTGCTATGTCACAGAGTAACTATGTCATGTACAAATGGCTTAATAACTACTAAATTAAAGTTACAATTGATTTCAGGACAGCAAAAATGATACAATTTTGTATTTCGCTGATGTCAGTTTTGACACTGTCTACTAGTTCTTTTCATAGATGAATACTTGTCTCAATTTTTTAATGAAAACATAGGCGTAGCTTCAATGAAGGAGTCATGTGCTCCTCCAATAACTAAATTTTCAGAAACTTGTTTTCAATGTTTTTTTTTTTTACTTCCTAAAATAACAATTATTCATTCAAAAGAAAAATATGAAATTTTAATTAACTTAATCGAGTTTAAAAAATTTAAAAATTTCGATACTTTGTGTACAATTAAATGAAATAATTTTATGGTTGTTGTCACTGTTATATAAGTGGTATCTAAAAAATTCATCTAATGATTTTTTTAAAAAAATTATTACAATTCAAACTTAACAATTTCAATGAAACAAAATTTCTGTTTCATTATTGTTCGTTTATAATTGTAGTTAGTATTTATTTAGTTTAATTCATGCACCATATAATTTTTTCTTTAAGGTGATTTTTTTTATCAGCTTAGTGTAATTTTTAAAGACATTTTTTCTTTATGTTAGCATTGTTTTATTTTATTTTTGTTTCATAGCAGCAAATAACTTGCAACATATTTTGAACTTGAAACTTTCATACATAAATAAATATTAAATCTTAAAATAAAAATTTTTCATAAAAAAAAGAAAACAAATTATGTCCCTTCTTAAAATAAAAAAAATTCTTTCACAATTTTTTTTGTTCGAAAACATTTCTTCAGATACAAACACTGACAAATAGAAGCTTCATCACTAAATAGAAATATTCTAATGAGAAGTTATAAATTATTATTTTGAAAGGAAAGGAAACCAAATTTGTATGATTTTTATGAGTTTTTTATTTTATCTAATTTAAGTTAGAGAGCTTGGGCAATAGCTTCAAAATTGACGAAAAACTAGGTTGCTAAAAGAAAGAGTGTTGGGTTACCAAACCTGGTGAGACATCTCTTTAATCTTACCTTCTGTCTTCATATGTTGGGAACTTTTTACTTGTAATTTTTATTGTTACTTTGAAAAAAAAAGTAGGGTGTGATGTTTGAGTTAAAAATATCTTAAGAATAAAAAACAGAAAGGAATATTTTAATTAAATTAATGATAACTTTACTAAAAATTAGATTGATAAAAGCTTGTTTTTATGAATTTTTTAAAACTTTATCACTTAAATATTTTTATCTAAATAAAAATATTCTTTTTTTTATTTTGTGAAATTTTTATTGCTCAAAGGCATCCTGCTGCGTGCTCTCTTTGCGATGGAATCTCGATGGATAAATTCTTATGTCGATGAAATTTTGCAATTAAAATGTGGGCCACTTTCCAACTAGCTAGAGCTCTCAAATTGTACTGAAATCCCGTGTCCGATGTTAATGAAGGATTAAATCATTTCCCGGTCGCTATCAGCATAATTTATCATGATATTGCCCCTAAGAGAATTTACAGTCAATCAAAATGTTCCGTCAAATTTTAACTGAGGTTCTACGCCAGTTTACAAAACTATTTGCAATTACTTCCCTACCGCTACAAGTAAAATTTATCGTGAAATTATTTCCGAAACTGTCAAACGCCTGCCAAATTTCCGACCACTTTTAGACTTACTAGTTCTCACATTATTATGGTGCCTTTGTGCTTGAAGACAATGCGAGTTTCAATCATTTTCTTACCATTAAAATCAGAACTGATCCCCATATTATATCAAAGTTAATTAATTAATCACCGATGAAAATTTCGACCATTTTCCGAAAAAACTGTTATTTAAACTTCATCTAGAACTGCGAATCTGATAACAAAAAATAATAAACTTTGCCACTAGCAGTATTTATTGCTATATTATTATTGCACAAAATTTTTTGCTAGTCCGATTGAGTGCTTACATTATAAAAAAATAGAGCTCTGTATTGGATGATATCTCAAGTTTCAATCACTTCCTGGTCAATTCATTCAGATTCCATAGCCATATCATTACCAAGAAGAATTCAGCGACAATTCGAATTTCGGCCGTTTCCAGCTAGATGAAGTGTTTAAACTGTGTAAGATGGCAGTGCTAGTTTCGATCATTTCTTCGGCATAATTTGTGTTATAAAATAAAATTTATCGGCTATCGCTATTTTTACCATTAGCTGGAAGGCTCTAATTTTAACTGGGAATCAGTGAATGATGCTCTGTGCTACAATCGTTTTGTGAGTGACGCTATAAAAATTTCGACCACTTTCCAACTTAAACAGGTACAGAATTTTTAGTTAGGCCAAGAACAAAAACCGTAGGGCATATCACTTTTGTGATAAATTTCTATCAGCATACGACGTTATCTTGCTAGTTACGTAAAAATTTGAGTATTTGATTAAAAATCAGTCAGAAATTAGATTGAAGATATTTCAATTTGTGTACAGAGTACTTGAGATATTGTTTTGGTACTAATCTTTTTTTTAAAAAAAGAACTTCATGACAAGATTTACTTTAATACCACTTTAAGTACCGCATGTAGTCTTAACTGGAAAAAAAACATTCATGTTTTATAATTAACGATTTTATTTAGCAAAATATTTTATCATTGATTTGTTAACAAACTATGATAAATAATAAATAATAATATGATAAATAATAAGTAATAACAAAATAATAATTCTGCTTGAAATTCAAATTTTGATTAATAATTGCTTACAATTGTTAACAAGTTTATAAATAATTTTTTAATCTTGACTTTAAACAATAATAAATATCTATGTAAACAAAAGTTTAGAACAACGATACTTTAATAGATTAATTTAAAATATAAAAACTATTTATAAGCAAAACATGTCAGTTAGCATCAATTTGAATTTTGAGAATACTCTAAAAAGATCATCACAAAATTTATATAATAGATTAAAATTTCGTTGACTGAGTCACATTTTTAAATGAAATCAAATCTCCATTATGCTGTACTAAAATAAATAGCAAATCAAATTTGTTTTACATTACATTTGTAAATAGCAACTTTCCTGTATGCATCAATTTGAATTTGGAGCATAATCCTCTTAATTGATCATTACAAAATTTATCTAATAATTTATATTAAAATTTCGTTGACTAAATCCACATTTTTAAATTAAATCAAATATCCATAATGCTATATTAAACTAATCAGCAAATCAAATCTCTCTTTTTTTAGAAGAACGTATTCGTAAAGAACAACTTAGCAACATGCATCAATTGGAACTTAAAATTGAGTTTTAAGCATTTGAACGAATACCAAATAATAAATAAAAAATTTCTGAGATTGAATTAGTCGCATTTTTTCTAACAAAATCAAATCTCCATCGGCTGTACTTTAGTTATCTGCAAATCACCCATATATTTATCTAGTTCATCATCCAGGTGTTTTTTCTTCAGATCCGATCCCTCATTTAAGTAATCTTCAACCATTCTTTTATACCCGGGTGAAACACCAGAAAAACGTTTCTGTGAAATTTTTTGAGAATCAGTTTCACTGACACAAAAAGATCGGCGACCAGGAATGGTGACTAATGATTTTGGTAACAAAACAGTATAGCGCTTCTCTT